GATATTCATAACACACATTCAGAGGTGGGCATTGGGCACAACAGTTAAGATGCCACTTAGAATGCCTGCATTTCATAACATGGATTCAAGTCCTGGCTCTTCATTCCACTTTCCTGCTAATGTGCACCCTGGGAGGCAATGGTAACTGCTCTAGTACTTGGGTTCCTGACTCCCACATGGAAGACCTAGTTTGAGATCAGGGCTCCTAGCTCCTGCTGCTGCAGGCATTTGAAGAATGAACTAGCTGGTGGAAGATCTCTCTCTCACACACACACACTCTCCCTCTCACAATCTCTTTTTCTCCCTCTCCCTCTCCCTCTCCCACTCACAATCTTTCTTTCTCTCTCTGAGCCTTTCAAATAGAAGAAAATAAGTAATTTTTTTTTTTAATAGTGCTTTGTACTTAACTTTCAAAACCACCCTTTGTTTAACTTTTAACCACCTTTAATCTGTCCTTTCTCTACTTAGTTGCTCTGGAATAGTCTCTAGACCATAAAGTCCTTTTCACATTTCCCAAGGCTCACATTTCGTCTGATACTTTTCAATAAATCCACTGTATTGCTTGAGGTGGCTGAACTTGCCATATTAAACTTAGTCCATATTTAAATACTTACACAAATAAAGTTATAAAAATGACTCATTTTATAATCTTGACATTTTTGACCAAACTCAGGAAGCTAAGGATAGACAACGCTGCAATACTGCAGAGAAATTAGCAATTAAGTTCATTTTAACTGTAAGAAAACATGGTTAGAGTATCTTATTTCTCTTAAATGGTTTTCCCATTAAACAGAGAGGGAAAAGAAAAAAAATGACATTGGCTAGTAAAAGTCATTAAGAGAAACAGAATATAACCACAAAAACTGCCAGGAAGAAGAGGGGGTGACTAAGAGCTCTGTGACTGAAGTTAACAGAAAAGAACTACAGGGTTTTGAAGAGCAAATCAAATTTACCAAGATACAAAAATGCAGTTTTTTCTTAACTATATTCTATCTTCTTTTATGCCCATTACAGGTCATTGAGAATAATCAAACCAGTGCTTCAAGCATTGATGGGGAAAACGTCTTAAAATTATTTGTATTACAAATAACAGGTTTTACCACATAATTTAGAAAACTTGTACTTCCTTAAACCTAACAAAGCTCATTAATTCTTCCAAACACTGAACTCACTAGCTAATAAAATAGTAAAAGTTCCATTTCTAAGCCATTAACTGAGCTATAGTAGTTGAGGGCATATTTTATGAATTGATTCAAAGCATTCCTTTAGGCTAAAAGGATGTACTAAGGAGGTCCAGAAAAACTGACGCTGCCCTAGGAGTCAGTTAGTCTTACTCTTGTTAAATATATACCAAGAAAAAAAGAAAGCCATGCAGCTTCTTAGAATCTGGGCTTGAAATCAGTTTATGTCAAGAACAAAAATGTCTTCTTTATCAATATTTATAGGGAAGGGTTCCAGATTATATGTTCAGCATTGAATGGTGCATATTACTCTTATTAATGTTTCATAAACATTTGTCCAAAAACAATATGCTTTACTTTGCTTCTAAGTATTAAGTAGAATTATTGCAGCATCTGCTTCCAATGGTTGAGTGCACAAGCTATTCATGCCTTGTCGTAAATTCCATGATGCATTAAGATGTCATTAAATGTACCTTCTGTGGTTGTCTCCTCATTTACATACCTTGTAAATCATCAGGTAGAAATCAAGTGAACTGGGGAATAGTCTCCCATGCTCTTCCCTTCTGCCACACATTGAGTACCATTCATATTCTTCATTCCAAATTCCTGCCTGCTCAAATGACTCATCTTTGAGACTATGCTTCAGGACATTTGAAAATATAACCAGTAGACACAGTTATAAGTGATATCTGATGATGCCTTATAATAGTGTAGAAATACACTTAGGAAATAAATTAGCAGAATACAGAAAAGAATATCGTTTAAATTTAGTATCTCTGTTTTAAAGGCAGGCTGCTTATCCAAGGAGCCAGCAAGTAGTGAGAAATTGAAAGAAAGCTGAGGGATTAACAGTGTCTCTTTTCTCTCCGTCCTTTACCATATGGTTTCTAGAACAACAGATCTCAGCATTATACAAGGCTTAACGCTCACGTGCTGCAACTTTTGCCTGGTGCAAAATTCTCATAGATTAGTGTCCATCTGCTGTCGGAACACTTCCAGTAGTGGGGAGTCTACATTTTATGAGAAAGTCCATCCAATTTGTCATTTGGGTTAACTTGCTTTTTAGTTCTGGAAGGAACAGTCTCATTTAACTGTGAATGGCTCCTGCCGCTCCACAGTCCTAACATGGCACTTGTTCTTCAATCTCTGTAGCCACACCACAGCTTCCTCATTGTGAGGATCACTGCTTTGTCAAGGGATGGTGTCACTACAGTGTCATTTCTTTGGATTATTTTTCCTATGGCATTTAGCTCACAGACTGCTAATAAAACCCACATAGTTTTAAATTGCTTGGCTAAGTTTAAATTGTAAGAATTGTAAGAATTCTTCGGAAAAATGACTTGGAAGGGCACATTTGCATTTTTAATGAATTTAATTCAGAACAATAATAACACTTTTCTATTTTAATTTTAAGAATTTTTTAAAGAATTTTAATGTTGGCCATTGAGTTTTTGATGAAGTCGGATGAGATCAGTGTCCCACATAAAAGATTCCTTTTTAAAGGAATATCATGAAAAATGGACAAACACACATGGGCTTCATATCCAAGATGCAGAAGAGAGGAGGAGGTTGACGAATATAAAAGGATGACCAAAGTCATTATTGAGCAATACATGAATCTAAGACACACCATAATTCTGCCACATTAAATCCATTTTTTTCATTTTTCACTTATTTCTTACAAATAAAATTTATCTAATAAATAGACTAATCTTCTATTGCTGGGTCAGATTTTTTTTTCATGTTATGTGACTTGCAGAATGTGGCAATGCCAAACACTGAAGTCACAGAGGTCATTTGTCATAGTCTGTATTAGAAAATGAGTCTCTAGCTTTGCCTTAGAGAGGGGACATGGTCACTGGTGATGGGTCATTTTAAAAACATTGTGACATATAAAAGATAACTTAGCTTCTTGTTTTACCTTGTTGTTTTTGCTCGAAATACAGATATCGGTCTTTACAACCGAGTCCTTGAAATGCTATTGAAAGGGGCAGTGTGAGAAATGGGCATTCCCAGCAGTATCAAAGCCTTGTTAAAAGCACCAAGTTTCTTTTTTTGCTTTTGTCCCTGAGGAAAACACAAAAATGTCCTGAGCATCAAGTGAAGGGAGGAAGATGAATATGGGGGTGGAGAGGTCAGTGACAGGAGAGCAGAGGAAATTGTTTCCTTTTAAAAAGGTATTAAAATATTGTACAATGCTTGAGTATCATTTTGCAACATGGTTCCCTTTAGACGCACTAGAGCCAATGCCCAGAAGCAGGTACGAGGAGAAATGTGTAGGCAGCAGTAACAGAGTCCCAGTGCACCAGCTGCTTCCACCTTTTCTCCTTTTCCATCTGTGAGGTTTCCATGGGCACGCTGGGTCTGGGAAACCAATATTAAATGTCACTCTAATCAGAACACAATCATATTTCCTATCGAATGTAAAGGCAGATTCATTCTCAATAATAACACATATACAAGATTAAATCTGTGTTAAGTCAGCTTTTCAGATGGAATTAAGAGCCTGTTAATGTCAGGGAAAACAAGCACACACTTCCTCTATTTATGATTTGCAAACTAAATTTCCCTTGTCCCCTGATCAGCACTAATTATTTGAAAGTCTCTGAAAGGAGTTTGCACATACAGTATAAGGCTGGAAAGTTAAGGTGAGAAATGTTCACATCAAGAAAAATCTTTTCTTCTAAAATAAATAAATTAATAAAATGACTTTTATTTCAAAGTTATTTAAATTTAAGCATGGAAGATTGCAAAGGACAGCTATAAAAGATACTTGCAGATTATATTCAGTCTTTGATTCAACCCCACTTTACATAAATTTAAAGATAGATGACATCTTTGAAATCTTTGAGTGATCATGAGCTCCCTGGTCATCAGATTAAGAAAAACAGACTTGCTTCCCCCAATCTTATCCAAAGGCAACTGGAAACTTAGTAGCAGAAGCAGGACCAAAGCTCTTCTCTTCCAAATTCCACTCTGTGTGATTTTTTGTTTTTATACAACATGTTGAAAAGTGCAGACATTTTGCATTTTTTAACCATGTGAATCTGAGTACTAGAAATTATAACATTTCAGCATTTTATAAACACACACACACACACATATATATATATATATATATATACATTATGTTTTGCTTTCTATGTAATATATACTTGATAGGTAATTTGTATACAATTATTATCACTAATTTAAGAAATTTGGCTATTTAAAACAAATACTGAACACAAGCTCAGAAAGTGACTCATAAGCCTAAAATTTCCAGGGAAATTTCAGAATCTAATTTCATTAGAGTAGAAAGAGTATTCTAAATGTCAATTCCATTTTTATGTTCCTAATTTTTTTTCTTTTCATATCAAAATGTTAGGCAGGAAGTTAGAAATTAGCCTATATGTGTGTGAGAAGGGCCTAAACACCAGCACCTACTGTGGAAGCCCCAGAAGTCCAGCATTTTGCACTTCAAAGTCCTGTCCAGACCCTGATAACCTTCCGGGTGGTCCCAGCCTTTCCCCCACAAGGAAAGCTCCCAGGAGAATTCTCTCTCCCCAGGACCAAATGGGTTACCTGACATGATGACACAGTGCAATAAAACCTCCACAAGATGTCCCTTCTGCCCACCTCAGCTGTGCCAACAAACCTGCGGAGGACTTTGCTAATTTACCCTCCACAAACCCTTTGTCATAGAGGAGGAGGATGGGTAGGAGGAACATGGCCCCCTTTTCCTTTATAAGCCCCTGTTTAATCAAAGAATGGGCACACCTAGCACCTCTGCTCTCTGTTGAGCTTCCTGCCTGGCCTGCCCAGGTGTATTTTCTCCTTTCAACCAAGCAACCTCACTCTTTCCTATTCTGAGTGACTGGGTACTCTATCTGGTTTTCCATTCTGATGGATGCTCTATCCCCAATAAAACCCTATCACTTCACTCTGTCTCACACCTGCCTGAATTCTTTCTTGCACGAAGACAAGGACCCCACAGCTTTCGACGGCTCTTTTCTCTGGTGACAAAACTTATGTTGCCCCATGCTATTCATTTCTCTTTGCCAACGTTTTAGCTTCTTCTTTCAGATATTTGGCCAGGACATCATGAAAAGCCATAGACCCACAACATATTGATAACTCCAAAGACCAAAAAACACATTCCTGAACAACCTGTGTTGCTAAACCACATCCCAGACTAGTTGGAGGTGTTGCTGTAGGACTCCCATACCGGGGTCCACTTGGCCAACACACAGAAAGTCAATCACTGACATTGAGGTGGTGGTGCAAAGCATGGAGCAAGACACAGGCCATTTCTGCTTAATTTCCAGGTCCCCAGATGAGTTAGGAGTGAAGATTCTTATGGATTAAAATTAGGGCTGAGAGATGTGTGATCAGCTGATGCTCAAATTCTTGGTTAGTCACCTGTGCTTCTGATTTTCCTTTTATAGGTCAGTGACATCATGCTCTTTAGTGAATTTATGATGGCAAGGTGGGCTCCAGTTGGTCTGGGATTGCACGTGGCAGTTACATTCTGCCCAAATCTAGAATTTTCTTACATCAACACTCTGGGCAATATTGGCCATCAAGGTTAATATCTATTGAAGTAGCAAATGACTCCGGTAATTAGAGTGATTAGAACCTTGCTTAAGTCAGTAAATTCTTTTGGAAAAGGGCAGCCAAGGACTCCTTGGGCTAAGGGAGATAGACAAGCTGTGTCCTGCTTTTATGTTATAGAGGTTCCATTTCACCATTTCACTTTATCTTGCTCCACTTCATGCTTTTCCTCTTCCCCTTCCTCTTTTCCTTTCCCTCTCTCTTTCTCCCTCTCTCTCTATCTCTCTCCCCCATTTTTAATTTATAAGTTAGAGAATATTACTGCCTATCTCCTTTCAATAAGCTGCAATGAAGATTTCATGAAATTCTACATAGTTCAATTGATATCTATCTCTTGTAAACACATACACTGTTTACCTAACAAAATAGTCTATTTCTTAAAGTCAGATACCATGCTTTGTGTTTCTTTTGTATCCTTAACGTCCAGAACACAGTTGAAAATGAATAAAAAATTATGATTGATCGTCTTTGGTAACTTCGAATTTTCATGCAATTAGGACCATTTCCTTGAGTTACTCCCCCAGCAATTAGCCATGGTTGTTTTCAGTTTCTGAAGTAATTCACAAGTATCTGTCAAATCCCACTCTTTTTATGGATTAGCCCATTCAGATGAAAATGATTTGAAAATCAGTTTCAAATGAGATTAAGCATCATTCTGTATGGTTTCAGTGTTGTAAAACAGCAAACAAGAAATATACAGTAAACAAGAAGTCTAATTTCACTTCTTTGGCTAATAGTGTAGCCATAGAGAAATGACTGAATCTTTCTGGTCTTAATTTCTTCATCAAACACACAAGTTATAAAATGGTGGAAAGAGACAGGAGGAAGTGAAATACGTACCAAGTTTTCAAACTGTGTCCTTTCCGTTTTAAAACTCCCACGCAGCTCTGAGTTTTCAAAAAGAACCCAGTTATTTGCTTAGCAGGAAGTGGGCAAGATTGAAAAGGATGAGACTTTGTTACTCCTCTCAAACTTAAAAACAGAGGACAGCTATTTTTATTGGCTGTTAACAATTTTAAATACCAGAATTTGATAATACGCTTTTCTTTGAAAAGTTTACTGCAGCAAATAATATTTCCACTCCTAATCTGTATGGAATGCTTGTTTTCTGTAGACTCTGAGGAGTCTAGAGAATGGGCTGCCTCCTTCCACCTCTCACATTCTTCAGCTTGTGCACAGGGTCCGGCAGTCCACACAGCAGCCAGGAAAATGCCCTCACCACAGCACCCGTGCAGGCATCACAGCCACGGCCTCACATGTCCCCTGTAGAGATGAAACATGCAGATCAGAGGAACCTGGAGGCTCACCACTGGTAGGCTTCTGTTCTCTCTGTCAGCAAACGCAATTGGCATCAGATAAGACATAACCTTTCTCAGCTTCGTTTCTTTAATAGTGAACCACCCAGAAGCTGGAAAAAGAAGAAAGAGAAATTCCAAAATGCATATTGATGTATCCAAAAATTACAAGTCTAAGAATTACTGCTGAAAGGGGACAAACATAACATAGTAGATATTTAAAAATTGGTGTATTTATTGTCAGTTTTCTTTCTCTGGAAGAAAAGTGGGAACAGAAGATTCTGAGCAGGATAGTGAAAATTGCTGAATTATGATAAGTGTATCTTTAGTTGAATATCAACAAGACACTTTTGCTATGCCAAATACTCAATTAGACGCATTTGTTCTCCAGTGACCTCACATTTTCATTGAGTATTTACAATAACTGTCTAAGTCTAGCTCACTCTTATGCCAAAAAGCAACAGAGAATCCATTAGGGAGAGTAGTACCTCCTTTGAGAAGTGTTATATGTAATTTCCCAATGCTAGTTCCATGTTTCTGTGGGCTAATCTATGATCATCTCTACAATATGGCGAATCCCTCCATGTCATATTTTTTATTGACAGAAATGTATAAGAACAGTTTCATGAATGAGCACCCTAGAACACTATTTCTGATCCAGCTGTTTTTAATTGGACTTATTTCAGGTATTTTACTTAAGGAAAATAGTTATTAAATTACAAATATATATTAAATCATATGTAAAAACAACATGATGATTTACCTGTTGGATCACACCAAAAAGATTACAAATACAAAACTCAACTTCCCCAACCTATCTGCCTTATGTTTCAAGAGCAAACTTCTGTCAAATTTCACCATTGCAGCAGACATGAAAATTGTATACAACCACATGTTATGTCACCAAATGTCTATATAGGTTAGGAGTCGTGCTTGGTTACTCATAAGCAAGGCTAGATTCCAGCAGCTAAAATCAATTATCATCTACCAAAAGAGTAAGTATTGTCTTGGGCATCATGGGATTGCTGAGGTGATTTCATAGAGCCATCATGCATGCAGTCGCCTTCCCTTATTCTGCTCCATATCAATCTATGTCTTCCCACAATGTGAGAAGGCGTCTCGGATTTCCAAATGCCACATGCTGGTGACTACAGAAAGCAGGTCAAGGGGAAGGGAAGGGTTAAGGGCAAGAGGGCACCACTGGCCAGCTCCTCTAGTCATATTCAGGACCTTTTCAGAAGTTTCATGAATATCACGTACATCTATCTCTCCAGATAGGACCTACTCACATGGTCAAAACCAGCAGAGAATGAGTTGTCAATGATGTCTTTCAACCATCCCTCAGGAGCTCTTCAATGTAATTGAACACGGCAGATTTCTGCCTAAGAAAGAAGAAAAAGATACTAAGTAATAACTAACAATTTCTAGCACAGTGAACTACAGCTTACCAGGTGTTCTCATTTATTATTATTCTCATAATGAATACATGCTTTTATTGTGTGTCAATCCCTGAAGTATACTTCTTCCTAAGGAGGCATTCTCATGCATGAAACAGTTCATAGAATGTCAAATATATACTTAATGTTATACAGGAATATGTTACTAAATTTGTTTAAAACAAATAGACTGGTGAGTTTAAATTTTTGGTAATATGACATTTGTGAAGAAATTACCATTATATCACTTTTAATACATCACCATACGTTGCTGTAAACCTCAGAGTCTAATAAAAATGTCAATTTTCTATCCAAGTACTCTGTAGTAGGTGTGAGAACAAACAGATGACCAAATTTCCTTATACAGAGAACTTTTACCTCCCTTGCTCGAAATATTGTACTTCTACTGAAGCAGACTAAAAAAATATTTCTGTTTTATAATAGCTTATTGCTGTATATTAAAATCTATGGCTCATTCTTACCTGAAATTCAATTAAGCTAGTTCACATAAAAACATAATGAGAAGTATTTACAACAGCTTATCTGAGGCTGCCACTTACTATCTCAGTTAAATAATCCTGTCCAAATAGAGAAAAAATTAAGAAAAATAAAAAAAAAATTCTTAGTAAACAGAGACTCCCAATACTCTTTCCCAAGTCTTCACATGGCTTTATCTAATTATGTTGAGATGAGTGCCAAGCTCATGTGATTACGTCTTTAGAGACCAAGCTAGTGAAGGGAAGGAAAGAAGGGAGAGAGAGGGGGAAGGAAGGGAGAGAGAAAAGCCATGAAGGAAAGAAGAAAAAGTGAGAGAAAGTAAGGAGAAATAGAGAAGAGAGCCAAAGAGAGAGGGGGGAGAAGGGAAGAGAGAGAGGGAAAGAGAGAGAGAGGGAGAGAGGATGAGTTTCTACCAATCCTTCAAATTACTCGTAATTCTTCAGTTATCGCCAGGGGTAGGTCTGGAATAAGCATCTCAAGTTCTTACTTGCTTCTTGAATGAAAATTTTTTGGGCAAGAAATTTGAACTTAAATGATTAATCACATAATATACTTTTCAAATTTTGTTTATTTCAAAGGTAGAATGAAAGAGAGAGAGGGAGAGGAGAGGGGAAGAAAGAGAAAGAGAAAGGGAGAGAGAGAGAGAGAGAGAATCTTCCATCCACTGTTTCACTCCCAAAATTTCCACAATGGCTGGAGAATCCCTGTCTGATAACTCATTCAGGAAGGTCATTTTTCTTTATCACTTCTTGCTTATTCTTTGACCTTGAAGATTATTTGTATGGAAATTTGAGAGAGGTTAGGTATTTCATTTTGCCTGCCACCAGTTCACACCTATGACTTGGCCAGAGTACTCCACATTTCCCCGATTTCTAAGCTTTGCATACATAAATATCATCTAGTAGCTGTTAAGGAAATGTATCAAGGTGGATCCCAGCTGCCGGTAACTTGAGTTAGTAAGATGTGATTCCACTTTTTTATGCAACATCCCATATGCTCATGCATATAATTCAGCAAGCATAATTCAAGAAATATTGTCATGTTCCTTTATCTTTATAATTATTTTAACTGTGTTATAAGAATTTACCTTTTGTATTATTTCCATGTACCTGGGCCATTCTCTTTGTACACATCCAGATGACATCATACCTGTAATTTCTTTAAGCTTTTGAGACCAGTACCCCTAATATTCTAAATTGCATATCTGACTATAAATTTGTTTCTATGGCAATTATAAATTCCAAGATTATGTGATCACCTATGTATTCACCTAGTATTATAAATCTTTCATTCAGTGCATCTTAATTAATTAGTTACAGGCCTATTCTCATCTCTGAAAGATAGATTATAATAAAACCTCAGCTATTAGTAAAATTAAGAGACAACGCTTAGAAAAGTATTCGTAGGGGCAAATTCATGGCCCAGCAGTTAAGATGTCACTTGAGATGCCCACATTGAACATCAGAATGCCTGGGTTCAAGTCCCAGGTCCACTCACTAGTCCAATTTGCTGTTAATGGGCATACTGGAAGGCAGAAACTGATGCCCAAGTAGCTGAGTCTCTGCCTCCCATGTGGCAGACCTATATTTAGTTTCCAGATCTTAGATTTACACTGGCCCAATTCCAGCTGTTTCAGGCATTTGGGGCGTGAATCAGCAGATAGAGATCTCTCCTCCCTCTCTATTTCTCTCTGACTGTTTCTCAGCCTCTCAAACCAAAAAGTTTAAAATTAAATTTGACTGTGGCTGGCAAGGTGGCATAACGGGTAAAGCCACTGTTTGCAGTGTTGGCATCCCATATGAGTGCTGGTTTGAATCCTGGTTGCCTCACTTTCTATCCATCTCTCTGCTACGGTCTGGGAAAGCAGTGGAGGATGTCCCAAGTCCTTGGGCCCCTGCATCCAACGTGGGGGACCTGAAAGAAGCTCCTGGCTCCTGGCTTCAGTTGGGCCCAGCTCCTGTCATTTCAGCTATTTTGGGAGTGAATCAGTGGTTGGAAGACTTTTCTCTCTCTCTCTGCCTCTCTGTAACTCTTTTAAATAAATTTTCAACAAATAAATACATAAATATGAAAATATGACTGCTTTTTAAAAATATAGTATATTGTAAACTACAAAGTAGACATTGAATCTTATTTTTCTAAGATTTATTTTTTTATCTATTTGAAAGGCAGAGTTAAGGAGAGAAGGAGAGAAGAGAGAGAAAGACAGAGAGACAGAGACAGAGAGAGAGTGAGAGAGAGAGAAAGAGAGATAAGATCATCCATCTGCTGGTTCACCAGCCAAATGACCACAAAGCCTGGGACTGGGCCAAGCTGTAGCCAGGAGCCAGAAGCTTCCTCCAGGTCCCCACCATGAGTACAGGGGCCCAAGCACATGGGCTATCCTCGGCTGCCTTTCCAGGCACACCAGCAAGGAGCTAGAGAAGACGCAGAGCAGTTGGACTGGCACTGGAGTCCCTATGGGATGCTGGCACTGAGTCACTGCAGCTGGAGGCCCAAGTTTCTACGCCATAAGCTTGGCCCCTGAGTTGACTCTTACATCATAGTCTAGGTCTGGAACCTTAACTATGTGTGGCAATATAAAGATTAAGCCCTGATTGTTCTTACTTGAAAATTGTTAGTTGTGTTAAAAAAATGACTTTTCACTTGTGTTTTTCTATATGCTGTCACTGAGGCAGTAATGTAGGAAATAAAAAAGTAATTCTTTCCTCACCCACTGAAACTTCTGCCACTGGCATTCCTGAAACAAAACACAGATTAACAACAGAAAAGCACATTTATTTATTTAATACAAATTTCACAGGAATCTTCAGGAGACCATGGGAAACTGAATTTTTATGAATGATCATGCAGAAGAATGATTGGAGGACAGAAGGGTATGATCGAAAGGCATTAAATTGGTAGGAACTTAGCAAAGCCTGTTTTTTTCAGGTTGCTTTTGACATCCCCGTGTGACATGTCTTTCCTTTGGATACTGGACAGAACACCTGTCACACGAGAGTCTTTAGGAGAGAAAGAAGACAGAGGTTCAGAAAGTAACCTTCCTAAGCGTTATGGCCTATATTGGGGAAAGGAATTGTGAGAGAAGTTCAGGGAAATCTTCCTGCTTCTGCAGTTTCCCAAATTCCTCTCAGTTTAAAACATTCAGTATGCCAGTATGCCATAATCCAGTATATGGTACTCTTGAGCCCTGAAAAGAATCACCAAAACTATCATTTTGCTGTCTTAGAGGTGAGCATTGTTCTAACCTTGTATTAATGCTTAAATTCCAACCAGAACCCCATTAAATGGAAACTAACATGATTCTTCTTTAAAATGGGGGAAACAAAGACACACAGAAGTTAAGCATCTACAATGATCACAGAGCTGCTAATGAGATGAGTCTGGATTTAAATACAGGCTAACATTCTCTAGGCCCAGTGCCCCTAATCATCATGCCAAACTACTTGTCAGTGATCCTATATAGTATCGTGCAAACTCGGGCTCCATAATGAATTGTGTTTCGGAATAATTTAAATTTATCAAAGACAGTAGTCACCACACTTATTTTTATTTAGGAGTATCCTGAATATTTATTTTTATGGTAATCAAGGGTCCAATACATTTCGATGCAGGGAGGAACTAAGTATGTATTTACACATGGAGTATCAGCTTAAAGAGAAATGTTACAGGAAACAATATTTCACCAGTATTCTTCCATATCATCTCAACCAAATGCTCAGAAGAAAGAATCTGATTCAACTAAGACACAATAAGTTGTTAATGGCAAATAAGCAGTCTTTCTTTTTTAAAATTAGTTTTTTTTAAAAATTGATTAATGTAATATTTGTACACATTTATGGGGAACAGTGTGACTTTTCAACACATGCAGCCAGTGTAAGCAAATCAAAACAGGTACCTGGCCTACCCATTCCCTTAACTATGCTTTGTGTGTGCAACCTATGAGACCCTTCTCTCTGGTTCTTCATACAGCATATTATATATTAGTATGAAGTACAGTCTCCCCGCTGTGCTGCAGAACGCTAGGGCTTGTCACTCTACCTCTGTTTTGGTACATCTTCTCCATCCTCCTCTCTCTTCTATCCACCCTCTTTTCCCAGCCTCTAGTAATCACTATTCAATGATCAAATCAACTACTTGTTTAACTTCCATGTTTCAAAGAGAACCTGCAATATTTGTCTTTCTGTGTGTGGCTTATTTCACTAAATATAATGATCTCCAATTCCATCCACCTTGCAACAAATGTCAGAATATCGTTCTTTTTTATGATAGAATTATACTCCATTATACATGTATATGGAGTACATAATACTCCATTGTAAATGTATTGGAGCCTCACATTCTTTTATCTGCTCATCCACCTACGGATATTGAGGTTGATTACATAGCCATTGTGAATAGTGCTGTAATAAACATGAGAGTGCAGCTATCTCTGTCATACATTAATTTCATTCCCTTGAATATAGTCTCAAAGGTGGGATAGATGAGCCATATGCCAGCTCTCTCCTTTCTTTGTAGGTATTTGCATGCTTAAAGAGAAACTAATTAGCCAAACACATGAATGCCACTTTCCTAACCTTTGCTTTTCATTTATAAAACCAGTCTTGTAACCTTATAAAACTTGCCTTTGACCTAGAGAAAAAGCATCTGTATTTACTTGAAATTACCTTAGCTCTCCAATTCAATATGGATTAATCCTCAAATATAAATCTGAATCACTGTTAATTTTATAAAGACAATTACCATGGGAAAGTGACTATTACAGGTGTTCATCTTCAGAACCAAGTACAAATTACAGCTCTAATCTCTTTGGAGATTCACATTTCACATACCTGAAGTACTTCATTATGCGACATTATTTTGTTATCAGCTTCTCATTGTTCTGTCTTGCAACCAGATGTGCTGAAGACAACCCTTTCACTCAAGGTAAATTATGTGAGAATGGAAAGGAAAGAAATTCATTTCATCGTTTATTTACTAGAATACCAACTATATATCATCCCATATAAAAATAGCTAAAGCTGACTTGAGAATCGTTAAAACAAGTATATTTCCCTGTCATAGCACTGCTTTTTTGTTGTTGTCATTTATTATGAGAAAAAGAAAAATGAATTCTTGCTTAGAATGTTTGGATTTAGAAAATACATATGGCTAATTATGTGCACACTAGAAAGGATTCTACTGGCCTGAAGGAAATATTTTGTTTATTTTATGAAGGTTCATTAAACCCAGTTTACAATGTAGTGCACATGCATTTAAGAAAATAATGTAACAGTTTAATAAAATAGGATAGAAAAATAGGATAATTTCACTTAACTGGTAACTGTTCTAATGAGGCATTTTGATCTGTGGTTTCTTTGATTTGTTCTCTTTCTCTCCCACTAGCTCTCTCATTTATGGAAAAAGTGTTTGGTTTGATGTTACCTATTCTAAATGTCAGTTATTTTAGCACAATATTTTTCTCATCAAATCTCATGTTAATGTGATATTAATAGAAAGAGAACAAATTCAATGGAGTTCATAGATAAAACTCTAAGAATATAAGACTTCTTCCCACCTTCTAGCCCTCCTTCCTTTCTGATATAATTTTTGAGGTAACATTTTTAATAGACATTTTGTTCAAAGGCTTAATGCTCTACTAAATGAAGCATTCAACAAGTAAAATGCTTATAGTTCAGCAAGCATATAGGCAAGGGCTATAAGAAATAATCAGATTAGAAGATGTCAGTAGTTAATAAATTATCACTGGAGAGAATTAAAAACATAATGTACAGAAAAATATAATTAAATTAAATTAAAATCATATATAATCTGAATGTAACATAATTAAAATACTTCATACACTCTAAAATTCATAGATAGGTATGCCATGAACATATATTTATGCTGATTCAGTGAAACAATATTATAACAAACACATTCTACATTCACTATAGAATGCTAAACTAATCGAACATAAAAATCAAATGAAAGCCATCTATAATTCTATAATACAAAAATACTCCAAGTTTTAGTGCTCTGTCTGGCTTCAAAATTTATAGTTACTCATTTAATTTAATTTTTTAATTTATTTTTAAGGAATATAAATTTCATAAGTACAACTTTAGGAATATAGTTATTCTTCCCACCATATTAGCCCTCCCACACACACTCCCACCACATCCTTTCCTCCCTCTCCCCTTACCAGTTCCATTATCCTTTAAGATTCATATTCAATTAATTTTGTACACAGAAGACCAACTCTATTCTAAGTAAAGATTTCAAATTTAGTACATATACACACACACACACAAACTATTTGGGAACTGGTTTTACAGTTAACTCTCAATACAACTCATTCAGGACAAAGGTCCTGCATGGGGAATTAGTGCACAATGACTCCTATTGTTAATTTAACAATTAACACTCTTATATATTACATCAGTGACCCAAGGCTCTTGAAATGAGCTGCCTAGGCTAAGGAAGCCTTTTGAGTCCACAAACTCCATCAGTATTTGGACAAGGCCATAAGCAAAATAGAAGTTCTCTCCTCCCTTCAGAGAAAAGTACATCCTTCTTTGATGGCCACTTATTTCCACTGGGGTCTCACTTGCAGACATCCTTCATGTAGAACATTTTTGTGCCACAGTGTCTTGGCTTTCCTTGCCTGAAATGTTCTCATGGGCTTTTCGGCCAGATCAGGAAAACTTAAGGGCTGATTTGAGGTTAAAGTGTTACTTAAAGTGATTGACATTCTATGAGTCTGCTGTGTGGACTGCTTCCCATGTTGGACATTCTCTCCATTTTCATTCTAGCTATCATTATTACCAGGCATTTGATCCTATTTATATAATCTCTTTAACACTTAATTCTATCTATATGTTCACTTTAACACTTAATATAATCAATTTAACAACTAAGATGGCATTTTTATCACCAAATTTAATGGGATTTGGAGTCCCATGACAAGTTTTTAAACTGTACCTTTAGAAGTCTACAGGAATGTATGCAGAAATATACAGCTCTACAGTTACAAATTTCCTCCTCCCTCTCTTATTCCTACTCTTATTTTTTTCTCTATTAAAATAGAATCCCATGTTCTGAAAATGTCATAAGGAAAGATAAAATATAGGAAGGATAATAAAAATATTTAAATACACGGTTAAAATTATTAAGGTAAAGTTGAGTCTATCTTCATTATTTACAGTACATTATGATAGTTAATTCTGCCCCATTAAAATAGAAGTTAATAATCCAATTCTTTAGCTATGATGGCTATAAGTTTTGTTGTTTGTTATGATTTTCTGTGAAAACTCTAAATGAATTTATAGCAAATTTGGGCTAAATCTTCTGAAGATGTTGATTTCTTTAAATGTGCACGTCCTTTTAAAAATTATACATTGTTTTTTCATAGAGCAATATACAGAGGAATTTTGTTTCTGTTTTTCTAGAATGTTTGAATTATTAATATATAAGAACTAGCAAGATGAATGCAATAATTATATAAAAAAGTGTGTAGAGAAAGAATGACTGGGCAACCAAAATTATTCTTAAAACATACCATATTTATTTAGATTAAATGGATTTTTTCAATTTTTTAAGAGAATAGTTGCTTATATGTAACACAATCATAAATGGTTAGAAAGACTTGCTTAAAAATTTCAGATGTTAACTAAATTAATTATATCTTAATGAACCTTTGCTATATAAAAATATATAATGGTATTTGTTGTATTTAATTTATTTTTTAAACAAAGAAGTTATAGCTCAGTTCAACAGCTACTTTGTAAATGATCAGTTATTGAAAGGTTACAACTTGGGTTTACAGAGTGGTGGAAAATACACATCATAAACTCTAAAACCAAATAGACTATGCAGCCATAGTTGAGTTTACATGGTACTGATCTAACAGTATATTTTAAATGAAATGTACTCTATTTTATTATTAAGAATTGAATTCATTAATCATATTGATTCAGCATATTAAGAACTTGAACTGAGTTTCAAGAAAGATTCTTTTAGATATTCTTTTTTTCTCAAAGAAGCCGTTTATTTAATGAGTACAAATTTCATAAGTACAACTTTAAGAATATAATGATTCTTCCCATCATACCTGCCCTTCCACCCCACTTCGTCCTCCCTCTCCCACTCCCAGTCCCATTCTCCATTAACAAAGGAAAAAAAATAAATAAAACTGTTCCTGGACAGTCAAGACAAGGGTTGTTCAAGTCATTGCTTTTGAAAGTGTCAATTTCACTTCTAAAGATTTCCTGTTAGGGGCTCTATTAGTTATCACAGCTCAGGGAGAACATGGTATTTTGTCCTTTGGGGACTGGTTTATTTCACTAAATATGATATTTTCCAGATTAATCCATTTTGCTGAAAATGACTGGATTTAATTTTTTTAAATCACTATGTAGTTTTCGATAGAGTACAAAACCTATAATATTTTTTTTTGACAGGCAGAGTGGACAGTGAGAGAGAGAGACAGAGAGAAAGGTCTTCCTTTGCCATTGGTTCACCCTCCAATGGCTGCCGCGGCCAGCGCGCTGCAGCCAGCAAATTGCGCTGATCCAAAGCGAGGAGCCAGGTGCTTCTCCTGGTCTCCCATGCCGGTGCAGGGCCTGGGACTAGAACCCAGTGTGCTGGCGCCGCTAGGCAGAGGATTAGCCTATTGAGCCGCGGTGCCAACCAAAACCCATAATATTTTTAGACAGTCTTCAGTTGCTTGGATGATTGATTTCATGTCTTAGTTATTGTGAATTGAGTTGCAATAAACTTAGGGTGCAGATAATTCTTTATTTGCTGATTGCATTTCCCTTGGGAAATTCCCAGGAGTGGGATGGCTGGGTCTTATGGTAGGGCTATATTCAGATTTCTGAGGTATCTCCAAACTGATTTCCATAGTGGTTTTACCAGTTTACATTACCACCAACAGTGGATTAGGGTACCTTTTGCCCATACCCTCACCAGCATTTGATGTTTGTTGATTTCTGTATGAAAGCCATTCTAACTGGGGTGAGGTGAAACCTCAATGTGGCTTTGATTTGCATTTCTCTGATGGCTAGTGATCTTAAACATTTTTTTTTTCATGTGTCTGTTGGCCATCTAATATTCTAATTTATTTTTCAATATTTGACAAAAGCCACCTGCCTAGGAAACACTATGAAAGATAGCTAGCATTTATACAGAGTTCTTTAAGTGATGAGCCATTTCTAAGTTACTTTTACAAGCAACAGCTCACTTACTTCTCAAGTATCCCTTGAGTTTGGTACTGTTCCTATCCTCATTTTAGAGTATTGAAACCAGGGTATAAAAAAGCACTTGCTCAAAAATGAAAGCAGCAACAGTCATAGCCAGAGATATAACCACTGTTCCTTCTCCAACCACTGTCTCAAGGGAATAGCTAAGGGCTCCAGATGGTTGTAGGATGCAACCTACAAAGTAGAACCACAAAGGTATGCAAAAAGTGTGAAGGGAAAAAGTAAATCAACTTACTGTCAAGCTAGAGATAGAGCTGTTCTTTATGCAGCTCAATGAGCTCTCTCCAGAAGACGAACTTACACTGGCCTTATACATTGCTGGGCTAATCCTTGATTAATAATCTTTGTTAAGTTGTTAACCATCAAAAGAATCAGAGTGTATTAACAATTACATTTATAAATTAAGCTTAACTTACCAAAATTTACAAAGAAGATTGGCTGTGATTTATTGAGCACTTATTTTATGCCAGATTCTGTCCGTTACTTTAGTTTCTATAGCATCTATATAAGAATTATCACTAATATTATTCCTAATGGCCTCATAAACAGAGATCCCCAGATGTTTAATGATTTCCTTAATTTCCAAATTCAGAAATGATACAAACCTAAAATTTTGATTCTAATTCCAGATGTCCTAATAGCTACAATAAACTCCATCACAAAAATATTGATTGTTATCCAATCACTGCCATGTTAATGCATCACTTTGTCATTGTTCATCAATGCCTAATCTATCCTTTACATTTGCATATAACTACTCTATCTCCTTATTACACTAAAGCATGTTATTTGTTTCACCTGTATTCCAAAGCAGCATTTCTGACTGAAAGATAGCATAGTATCTATATTACCTATGACACTGAAATGTAAAAGATACAACAGAAAAACTGAACTCACCATTGTTTTCTTCTGAATGAAAACAAGATCACTGATTTTTCTCATGCAGGAAATCTCTACCATGAGAAGGTGGCCTTAATGTATACATAGCTCAATAATCCTGAAATACACAGTAGTAACACATTAGTATTTACTGCTATTTTCACTGTCTCCCATTGGCATTCAATGCAAGCATTGATTACATCTTCTATCTCTTCACTGAGTTTCAAAAAGAAGTTTTCTGTGGATTCTATAAACATTTGTTGTACAATATGTAGTGACAGCAACATAAAGTCTCAACTTCTGCACCTCTATGTTCTACATTCAAACACTTTAAGAATTCTGATGCAATGTTACTCCTTTCTGAAATGGCTGTTAATCATGCCTGGAAGGCCTCACCTTTCTCTCCCTCTAACTGTAATGAAATGCAATCTATGATGTAAAGTGAACTGAGCTAAATGATGAGCTGTATCTCTTACAATAAAAAAAATTCCAGAATTAAATGATATTTTGTCCTGTTACACTAAGGGAGAAAAGCATACACCTTCTTAATCGTAACATTTTCCTTGTAGTGTGTCTTAAGATCTCTTTGTCTTTGGCATAAACCAGAAAACATAAGCTCTTTTGGCTCTGTTAGTGGAATGATCCAGTTTGACCTAAGCCATTGAAGGCAAAAAGTGAATATGATTTAGGGGCTCTAATGCAGTAGTTAATAGCTTGGCTAGAGTGGCACATTTTATGTCCCCAGTGGATATTTCCTGTTTCATTCTCTTTAATTATCCAACATTGTTAGGTTTTGTGCTTTCTATCCAATTGCCCTGTTGTTTTAAAGTTAATTACTGCTCATAATCATAGTACTGGATCATTGAGGAAGAAGAAAGAAGCCATTCTCTGAAGCAATGTATTTTGCTGCAGATAGTAGAATTATGTCCTAAAGGATATTTCTAGCACTTTGTCCATTTCAATTACAATTGCCTCTAGAGATATAATTTCTATTATTTTCCCTGAAACATCATCTGACCCATTATTAATTTAATGGGTGTTATGATGTTTCCCTTTTATATACGAAATATACATTCCACTTTAAACATTTTTACTTATATAAAGGGAACACATTTAATATATTTCATATCTACTGTGTTAAATGCATAATGATATCTCCTACTCTACCCTCCTTCACTATAAACAATAATCAAGTTTGAAAATGTCAATTTTGCAGGCTGGTGTTGTAGTGTAGAGGGTAAAGTTGCTGCTTGCAGTGTTTGCATTCTGTATGGGTGGTAGTTTGTGTCTCAGCTGCTCTGCTTCAGATTCAGCTTCCTGCTAAGGGCCTGGGAAAGGCAGCAGAAGATGACCCAAGTGCTTGGATCCCTGCTATGCATGTAGGAGACCTGGAAGAAGCTCCCAGCTCTGGCTTTGACCTGGCCCATCTCTGGATGTTGAAACCACGAGGGGAGTGAACCAGCAGATGGAAATCTCTCTCTCTCTCCCTCTCTCTCCACCCCCCCCCCATTCTCAAGTGTGTGTGTGTCCCTCTCTGTGACTCCTTCAAATAAATAAATCATTTTAAAAAGATTTTTTGCTATTTTGCTCATATATATTAAATTTTCTGTACTCTGTATATTAGTTACCACAATGGCCTAAATAATTCCTCTTCATTTTCTAACAACTACATAAGATAGCAATATAAAATGTTCATTGTGTAGTTTTATCTCTAATACATAATGTTAAATTGTATTTTTAATTTTTTTTGTGAAAATGGGATGCTGTCTTCAGATGCTTATGTTTCAAAGGTACCATATAGTAAAGACATATCTGAGAGAAAAATAAGCAAAATATTTTCTTGGATAATTACAGTTTTCTAAAATTTCATTTTTAAAAGTTGATAATTCTGGCCGGCGCCATGGCTCACTTGGTTAATCCTCCACCTGCGGCGTCAGCAGTCCATATGGGCGCCAGTTCTAGTCCCGGCTGCTCCTCTTTCAGTCCAGCTCTCTGCTGTAGCCTGGGAGGGCAGTGGAGGATTGCCCAGGTGCTTGGGCCCCTGCACCCGCATGGGAGACCAGGAAGAAGCACCTAGCTCCTGGCTTTGGATCGGCACAGTGCTGGCCATAGTGGCCATTTAGGGAGTGAAACAACAGAAGGAAGACCTTTCTCTCTGTCTCACTGTCTAACTCTGTCAAATAAAGAAAAAGAAAATTTAAAAAAGTTGATAATGCAGTCACTTGGTATAAAATTCAAAAGGTACCAGAAGTTATACATTCCAAATGAAAGTCTCACCTCCACTTGGTTCCCAAGCAACTCATTACCCTAAACATTTCTCCATCCATCTTTTTTTTTTTTTCAAAGATTTATTTATTTATTCGAAAGTCAGAGTTACACAGAGAGGAGAGGCAGAGAGAGAGAGAGAGGGAGAGAGAGTCTTCCATCTGATGGTTCACTCTCCAATTGACTGCAATGGCCGGAGCTGTGCCAATCCGAAACCAGGAGCCAGGAGCTTCTTCCGTGTCTCCCACATGGGTGCAGGTGCCAAAGAACTCGAGCCATTTTCTACTGCTTTCTCAGGCCATAGCAGAGAGCTGGATGGGAAGTGGAGCAACTGGGACTAGAACTGGCACCCATATGGGATGCTGGCACTTCAGGCCAGGGTGATAACCTGCAGTGCCAGTCCCTCTCCATCCATCTTACAAAAATATTCTCATCTATTATCTGCATAAGCAAAACAAATGCAAATGGAAATATAATAAATTATTATATTTGACGAAAATTAAGAAACTCAAATGGTAGAATAGACAAAGTTAATCTGCAACTTGATGACTACATATAATATTTCTGATTGACCTTTCTATATATTGCTGATAGAATGCCTCAATCTTTTTTGATAATTACTACAAAACCTGCAATGCTGAGGTGGCAAGAAGAGGTCAGATTTTGAACTGATTTGAAAGTAGAATTGAAAAAAATTTAGGTCTCAAGGACAATTCAAAATTTCATATGCCAAAGATATAATTCAGTATATATAATATAATATAATATAATATAATATAATATAATATAATGCAGTATTCTTAACCTAGATGGAATTTCTAAAAAGACCAAGTTTGGGTTAGATGACCAAGAGCTTAGGTGTGAACATACTAACTTTGAGATATATATTAGCCACCACATATTCATAGAACTTGTAATCTATTTCTATTTTATTATTATTCATAAATAATGCATTTTAAATTATATTTAACATTGATTTTAAATCTACAGAGAGATTCATATGAATTGTTGATTGTTTCAAAGAGTTCCATAGGAGTATAACCAGAAATCTGATTATTAGTTTTATATAATCAATATCTGGATTGTCTATAGTTAAATAGAGTTTTCTAACATTAGCACTTTCCCAGAGTTCCCATATAGGGAAATTATATATACATATGTATAATAGATACATAATATTATATATATATATATAAAAGCTGCATACCTATATGTATCCAAGATGTCTATAATGCTGGATAAATCCAGAAACATCATTCTCATTCTAATCTCTGTATAAGTATACATGCTTGGAGTGGAACCAGGAGGGTCTATCTACTTTTTATATTTCTATATGAGAATTCAAAAGCAGAGCAGATACAAATATTGATCAATTATTTCATAATTTAAAATAACTTATTTGTTAGTATATGGTTGCCCAAACTATTTTTTACCTATGAAGCATAAAATTCTGAACAGAGATGTTTATTGTTGATAAGTTCTGACAGCATTGATTTAGTCACTTTCTCTGCCCAAATTTAGCTTCATTTAGCGCATCATAGAAACTAAATATTTCCAGCAGGATTTCTTCTTCATTCAACAAAGCATGAATGAAGAAGAAATTGTATTGCTGTTTTTTACTTTTGACCCAAATTTTGTCAAGAACTTCTCTCATTTCTGGCTTCCTAATTAGGCCTGCTTCCCTCAAACCAGCACTCAATTCAACCTCTAGGCGGAGACATGTGTAATCCAGTAGTGGAATTGATCCAGAATCAAAAGTATTTGGTCAATCTGCTATGCCTATCTCATCTACACATGGTGCAATTTCAACTTCTTGGGTTTACAAAGGGAAAATGCCAATGTTTCCATTGTAAATTTATTTAGAATAAAATATTTTGTGCAGTATTAATGATCTAGTAAAAATTTCCACTAAGGTAGAGGAATAAGATGTTGTAAAGATTAAACAAAAACTTCCTTTCATATTGTATATTCATAATATTCATAAGGTGTATAGCATGTTTTGTTATACATGAAGATAGTGAAATGGTTATGACAGACAAGCAAATTCACTCATCTATTAATTTCACATGCTTATCTTTATGTGTATGTGTGTGCATGTGTGTGTGTGTGTGTGGCAAGAGCACCTCCAATCCTTTTTTTTTAGAACATCTCAGCTGCAAAACAATTTATTAACAAGATTATTTATGTTGTACATTAGATCTCTACACATTAATCCCACAGTATCTGCTACTTTGTATCCTTTCACATGCATCTACTTAGTTCCTTCCGCTACCCTTACCTCTAGTAACCACTCTTTTATTTTCTCATAAGTGTCTTCATTTGGAATAATGTTTTCAGGTTCCTCTAGATATTGTGGCAAATGGCTTGTACACTGTAGATTGGAAAGTAGATTGGGATACTCTAATTGGAAAGTCATATTGGACAGCCCTGGAATTGATTACGCAGTTCAGGAACCTAGCATGATATCAACATCCATGAAGAGTCAACATATAAAGTAGTAAGTTAGCATAGACTACAGCAATTTTGCTCTATGAATATAAAAGCTTAATCAATAAATTAAGAGTGTAACCTTATCTTGATCAGGACAATTAGCAGAATAAAATGTGTTCCAGGTTTTTAACTGCAAGGCTGTGTTTCTAATAAAGAATGAAAAATCAAAAGGGGGCTCTATTAGGCTTCAAATATATTTTATTCCATAGACCAAGACTTTCACAAATTATAATTTTTAGCTACTGCCAACGTGTTAGTCTAAAACAACGGATAACTATTCCATAGAGCACCTCAGACCCAAATTTCTTTCAGAACTCTATGGATCTAGTGTTTTCTACCATCTTTGGTACTGACCATGTTTGGTTGGGACCCTACTATGTGTCTTCTCAGCACTCTGGACTGACTTTGGCCATATAATCCTCTTTGTCATTATCTTCTTCATTTTTGAGCCTTATGCCATTACAGTCTATATTTCTTAGTGCTTGGGCTGCTGGCTAATACAACAAAAGTTATATATTAGATACTCAACACAAGCATTGAATCAATGATCACAGATATGGCCAGTCATTGGCCTGAACACACTTTCCTGTTTGTTAAGGCCCTGGCATTACTTCCTAAGTGCTAGATACTTCTTTTTTCCTTAACTCAGAGCAATGGAAATTTTATTGTTTATCTCCTTCCCATAAATTGCTTTTCTAAAAGAAAATGATAAGAAGGAGAGAGGCATACTTGAAAAGGAAATATTTTCTCATTAACAGCTAGTTTTATGGCTTAACAACCCATGATAAAAGATTAACAAGAGAAAAGGATACCAAAGTATTTAATAAGTTGTATATGACATGGAAGACTTTAGAAATAAATATACAAAAAAATGGAAACCTTTGTAATTTTACGGTAATTTTGATGAATTGGGAACATATGATTGGATAAACCAGTATGGTCCAATGGTAATAAACTCAATGGGGGAGGTATAACTTACCATGGAATGTTTCGATAGATTCTTCTCTGTAACCCTGTGTCTTCAGAGGTTAGGACATCCCTTTCTTCTAAGGACATAATGACAGCTCTCACTTGAGGGTCTTATTATCTACATCAGTGGAAGGTTATAAAATTACTTTATGGCCTGCTTCAGGGGAAGAGTGGAAGAAGAAGAGAGAAGGCATCCTCTTTCTTTTTTTTTTAACTTTTATTTAATGAATATAAATTTCCAAAGTACAGAATATTGATTATAATGACTTCCCCCCATAACGTCCCTCCAACCCGCAACCCTCCCCTTTCCCACTACCTCTCCCCTTCCATTCACATCAAGATTCATTTTCGATTCTCTTTATATACAGAAGATCAGTTTAGCATACATTAAGTAAAGATTTCAACAGTTTGCTCCCACACAGAAACATAAAGTGAAAAATACTGTTTGAGTACTAGTTATAGCATTAAATCTCAATGTACAGCACACTAAGGACAAAGATCCTACATGAGGAGTAAGTGCACAGTGACTCCTGTTGTTGACTTAACAAATTGACACTCTTGTTTATGGCCTCAGTAATCACCCTAGGCTCTTGTCATGAGCTGCCAAGGCTATGGAAGTGCCCTGAGTTCACTGACTCTGATCATTTTTAGACAAGGCCATGGTCAAAGTGGAAGTTCTCTCCTCCCTTCAGAGAAAGGTACCTCCTTCTTTGAAGGGCATCCTCTTTCTATTGTTTTTACAACTGCCAAGATGCCACAAATTGGGGTAGCATGGACTCATCCTCATTAGAGAAAATGATGCAAAGTAGAAGAAAAAAAAGAGATAGGAAATAAATTGAGAAAATACATAAAGTAAGACACAAAGAAAATTTGTATTGAAAGGAAAATCATCTATTTTTCAACACTAGAATTAAGAATGTAGTATATAAATTATTTAAAAAATAATGAAGACAATTTCTAAGGAAGGGGCAAAGGAGTAAATTGGATAGATGTACATTTTCAAATATCTTTCACTAACAAAGAAAATAGCATAAGATTTGTAATCAGACAATTGTGGGTTTGAAATATATTTCCTAGTTATCTAGCTTTATGTCCCTAAGGAAGTCATAGTTCCCTATATCTCACTATTTTTACCTGTATAAAATGGATATAATGATGAGTTTCTCAGGGTAATATTCTTAAGAAGATTCAAAGAGATAAAGCTGGAAAAGTGCCTCGTTCACAGGAATTCAACATGCTATTTCTCCTTCATTTCCTTTTCCACAATTTCTATTTTTAGGAAAGTTAGTCTATTAGTAACTAGGGTTATCCAGAGAAACTGAACAAACAGGATCAGTTTATCTGTGTTTGTATCAGTCTGTCTATGAAATTATTATGGGGAATGGCTCACAAGATTATGGAGGTTGAGAAGTTACATGATGGCCAGTTGTCCACAAGCTAAAGAGCCAAGAAAATCAGTGACCAGTTGTACAATTCAGCCTGATACTGAAGGCTTGGGTTGGCTGATAGTAAGTTTGGATCCTAGTCCCAAAGCCAAAGGACCAGTAGCACTGATGCCCAAGGACGGGAAATCATGTTGTAAGGGATCAAGCAGAGAGCAGATTTGTTCTTCCTTCACCTTTTTCTCGTATTGAGTCCTCCATGGATTGCATAGTGCTGGCGACATTGGTGAAAGTAGATCTTTACTTAATTACTGATTAAATCATTGGACTTCTGAAAGAGGCTTCATGAGCACGTCCAGAAATAATACCTTTCGGTTATCTTGGCACCCCTTAACCCAGTCAGGCTTGTACATAAAATTGCCATCACAGAGGATGTGCATCTCTAAGCAGGTGACTTTGGAATTCTTTACCTTAGTGAAATCCTGACTGCTCAAAAATATGCTGACTACACAGAATGGCATAGAGTTTCCGGAGCAGTTAATTTACCTAGAGTTTGTTCAGTTTCACCTACTGTGAAATTGAGCATATGTTTTCTTAGCTTGTGCTTTAAACCCTCCAGGTTTGCCATTTTCTTTTGAATAGGCTTGTCTATTGTCCTGTCTCAAGAAACTAAAAAATTAAATAAGCATTTTATCTGTGCTGAAAGAGAACCGTAAAAGTAAATATATTTCATTAAAAATCAATTTCTTAGGACAACTAGTAAGTGATACCACACATTGTATAATATAATGCTGAGGAAAGTATAGAATAATAGAAAAACAAACCCATAATTACATTCATTAATTTTATTTTCAACGTTTGAAATTGAATTGCAAAGAATTTTGTTAGATATCCAGACTTCATAAATGATATCTTTCTAATGATTATTTAAATTCCAGACAAATGCAATCATTTCTCCTCCTTTATACAGTTTCTAATGGTTTTAATAATTTCCCATTCTTCCTTTAGGTGTACAGAGAAAACAAGATGACACCCACTGAAGGGCAGAGATTAGTCTGTGTAATTATGATCTGCCATTGTAGATATTTACCAGGTGCTTCCTGTGTTCATGGCATTGAGGTCACCAAAGAACATGCCAAGGGAGAGAGACCAGCACATAAAACCTTTCCAAAGAGACCACAGGTAATTGCTGTATTTCCTATACCAAGGCGTCCAGATTGTGCCTGCTCCAACATCAGAAGCTCTGAACACAAAACTGTTTAATAAGCTCAGTGATCTCTAAGAAACATTGCTGGAAAGAAAACCTGAGGATCATGATTTCAAAGTGACTCAAACAGAGCTTTTTACTACAAAGTGCCTTTTCAATTAGAATGCTGGAAATCAGACAGTGTGGAAGATGTAAGGTAACGAGGGCAGGCAAGTTAGGGCTGCCTAGGGCTCTGTAAGACTATTCCTTTCACGTTTAATTCAGCTTCTTGAAGAAACCTGGGGTGCAATAGATAGCAATTCCTGGCATTTTCCCCCTTGTTTTGCCTTTGAGTGCCTTTATATAGTCTATAATTCCTTCAAGTCTATGGTGAAGCAGCTATTAGTTTTAAAAAGCTTTTGTTTCCAAGAGGTAGCCTTTTACCTTTCCCACAACAAGAAAATAAAATGACTAAATACTAGAAGTTTGAGCCTGTTTCTAATCAAGGAGAGATTAAATGAGGGGATCGTTTGACGTCTCTGTGTGCTGGCAGCATCAACTAATGACCTTTATTGCTAACGACCTGGGCCTCCAGGCAATGAACCTAGACAGCACTGATTAAGAGAGAGGCCTGCTGCTTTTTACAGCTATATAAAATAGGAGGAATCTTTGGGTTAATAGACAAGGGATAGGGTACTGAAAGAAATGTGAATATGAACGAGCGATTAAAAATAAAGAAGGGCTTGTTCCTTCCTTTGTGCTACATATGAGAAAATTAATTAGCGAAGATCAAGGGTCAGAAATAATTTTGACTTGATGCTTGCAACTAAAACTTCAGAATGGAAAAAATCTTAAAAGGAAAATTATCCACCCAACTCTGTGAAGTCAGTCTGCATATCCTCTAGACACGTGTCATTGTCTAAACAGCCACATCAAAGACCAGAGACTTGGCAGAGTCCTCACAACTTCCCACCTGACTTCAGTGGCGAGTGCAGCCATTAATAGAATGCCAGTCCTCAGGGGTCTCTCCGGGTAAGTGCTTTTCTGTCCTCCTGAAGTGGCATCAGGGGACTGCTCCACCGCTCCTCTTGGCAGGGTGTTTTTTTGCACAGGCACCACCCACTGCTTGAAACACTTCCTTGAGATTCCTGTTCAAACTTTGTTTAACCATTTTTAGCCCATTTGTTCTTGTCCTAGAGGTTTGATTAATGTTCATATCCCCTTTTCATTTTAAAAGGAGTTTAATACTTACTTAAAGCCACATTGGTTTCAACTACTCATTGATTTTCAACTATGAAGTTATTCACAGAAAGATACTTTTTTGTAGTCATATTAGGAAATCCCCTTGTTAAAGATTTATCTGAAGTGAAAAGATTGTGCAAAAATTTAGGAGCAGATTGAACAAAATTAAAATCCACTACAAGCCACTAAAACTACAACCCTCTAGAAATGATCACTTTTAATTATTACATTACTAAAGAAACTTTCAAAAAAAGTTCACACAATGTATAGAATTTATATACTACTGTTTTTATCTGATAGTATATTGTGAAAAATTTCCCATGATATTAGAAACAAGATTTTTACTGTCAATCCAGTGCTGTTCAGTTATAGAATTTAGTACTCCTATAGATGTTCCAGATCAAAATAATCAGATCGAATAGCTATTTCAAACCCAATCAGCACATGATTAATTGCTAATTGTTAAATTCAGCCTGTTGGTTAAGATATAAACTGGTTGTAGGAATTGACAAATTTATGGTTTCTCAAGGGGCCCTCAAAGAAGGAGGTACCTTTCTCTGAAGGGAGGAGAGAACTTCAACTTTAATTATGGCCTTGTCTAAATAATGTCGGAATTTTTGAACTCCACAGGCTTCCATAGCCTTGGCAGCTCATGACAAGAGCCTCGATGATTACTGTCATCATAAATAAGACTGTAAATTGTTAAATCAACAAAAGGAGTCTCTGTGTACTTGCTCCCCATGTAGGACCTCTGTCCTTAATGTGTTGTACTATGAGAATTAACGGTAAAACTAGTACTTTATACTTTGTGTGTCTGTGTGGGTGCAAACTGTTGAAATATTTACTTAATATAGAGTTGATTTTCTGTATATAAAGAATTAAAACTTAATCTTAATGAAGAATGGGATGGGAGAGGGAGTAGGAGATGGGATATTTTGCAGGTGAGAGGGTGATTATGGGGGGAAGAACCACTATAATCCAAAAGTTGTACTTTGGAAATTTATATTTATTAAATAAAATTTTTCTATAAAAAAGCAAAAAAATTATGGCTTCTCAGCTCCTGAATAAAACTATTAATTTAACTAACTTATCACTTAATAAAATGCCCTCCATATGATGAATAAGATACAGTATTAGATCATTGATGGAGGAAACAATAATGACCCCAATCTTTATGTGACCATTTGGTTAACAATTGATTCTATTTTAAAAGCATCAGGATTTAAAATGTCTAAAAGTTTATCTTTTTACTGATGTAAGTGAATTCAGCAATAATACCCATGGACTTGTTTTATTCACACATGCATGAATTCATCCAAAAATATTGATTGCTAGAGGTTATGGTAGATGTTGCCAAACTTGTAGAAAATAATAGGGAAGAGTTTGAAATTCATATGGCTAACATTTTAATAAGGGAATAAAAAGATAAACAAGTTAGGGAAGAAAGAGTTGTATGTTAGGAAGTGTTGTGGAAGGTGCCAAACATATTTCGATATTGGCCTCCTTGATTGGGTAACAAATTCAAGTTGAGACCAACTAATGATAGTGAGAAGAGTTGCAGAGAAAAGCATGTCAGTCAAATGAAGAGCTGGGAAAGGACCTTCAGGCAATATATATATATTTATATATATTATTTATAAAGAAGCAATTCTCGGGGTTGGAGCTGTGGCATAGTGAATAAAGCTGCTGCCTACAGTGTAGGCATCCCATATGGGCGCCAGTTTGAGACCCGGCTGCTCCACTTCCAATCCAGCTCTCTGCTGTGGCCTGGGAAAGCAGTAGATAATGGTCCAAGTCCTTGGGCCCCTGCATCCATGTGGGAGACCCAGAAGAAGCTCCTGGCTCCTGGCTTTGGACTGGCTCAGCTCCAGCTGTTGCAGCCATTTGAGGAGTGAACCAGCAGATGGAAGACCTCTCTCTCTCCCTCTCTCTCTCTCTCTCTCTGTCCCTCTGCTTCTCTGTAGCTCTGCCTTTCAAATAAATAAGTAAATCTTAAAAAAAAGGAGAAGAAATTCTCACTTCTTCAGGAAACAGAAGGGAGGTAGGTGGCTGGGAAGCAAGAGGGGTATTCAACAATGAGGATGACAGAGTGCTAAAGCCAGACCTGTGCAGATCCTTCAGGTCCTGATAAATATCAAGGAGGGGTTCACATGGAAAATGGAATTTCATTTCCCATAAGGGAAACAGAGTGTGAGGACTTTGATCCTTCACCTAACAGAAATACAAGAGGAAGTGGAACTCAGTCTCTTCTACAGCTTTGTTTTGGCATAAGAGCTCTGAGGATTAACACACTTTCCTCCATTCCCTGCCCTCCAAGAGGAAAGCCAGACCCCAGGCTTCCTAGAGGCAGATGGTAAGGAAGTCTGCTGTTCCCTGTGAAGCTGTGGCTCTGGACATATGTCTCTTCTCTCCAAATGCAAACATGCATTTGAGTGCATCCCAAGTCCTGGCTGGGGGATGCACATATCTGTTTCTGCCATCTTATTTAAAAACGCATCAAACCTTTAGTTGGACTGTTCTGGTGCTTAACCATATGGGCTCATTTGCAATAAAAAAATAGAAATACAATAAAGTAGTGTGGCAGACTCTAAGCTGACCTCAGATGATCTCTACCTCTTCATATTCATGCCCTTGTGTAACCCTTTCACCTGCGTGTGGAAGGGGCCTGTTACTTACTTCCAACCAATATAACAAAGGAAAAGGCTGGTGCATCATTTCCACAATCACATTACCCAAGACTGTAAATTCCATCTTGTTGGAGACTGTTGGCTCTCTGCCTTGCTGGTTTTCATCAAGTAAGCCAGCCTAAGAAACCAAGAATGGCCTCTGGCCATCAAGGATCAGAGTCCACTCATCTGATACTCAAGGAGGAACTGAATTCTTCCAACAACCATTTGAAGTTGAATGTACCTAGTCTGAATCTCAGATGAATTTCTTTCCCTGGTCAAATATTTTATCACAGCCCTATAAAAAAAGCCCTCTGAAGCAGAGAACCCACCTCACCCAAGGATTCCTATCACACAGAAAGTATGAAATGAAAAATAGGAGTTATTTTTAACCACTAATTTTATGGTAATTTTCAATTTAGCAGTAGATAATGAACACAAATAGTAACAGATTGTGTAAATGACTATGGTGACAGTATAATGATGATATACAAACACTAGTAAACTTCTCTAGTTTCCTCCTCTCTGTGATTCATGTTGTGATACTCTTGGAGCAGACCTTTGGCACAGAAGTTAGGATGCAACTTGGGAAGCCCACAACCCATGTCAGAGTGCCAGGGTTCAAGCTGTGGCTATGTTTCCAATTCTAACTTCCTGCTCATACACACTGTAAGAGGTGATAGCTCTGGTACTTGCTACCATGCTACCCACATCTGGAAGTTCCGGATTGAGTTCTGGGCTCCTGATTTTAGCTTGGCCCATCATTAGCTGTTGCAGGTGCTTGTGAAATAAATTAGCCTATGGAAGATCTGTCTGTCTGTCTGTCTCTGTGTGTGTGTGTGTGTGTGTGTGTGCTTTTTTCTGTCTATGTTTCTTTCTCTGCTTTTAAATTAAAGATAATTAATACTTTTTAAAATTGTGGTATTCCCATGACCTGAGTATTCTTTCTGGAATTGGATGAATCGTGCCCTTTTTGAACTATAGCTGATTCTTCCTGAAAGGCAAAGTCAACAAGGTTGGGCCTCTTTTCTGAAATCATTGGACCCACATGCTGTAACCCCATGCTATGTTTAAGTACAGTCACCACTCATGGCTTTTTCAGAACCTATTTTTTATTCTTACTTCTCCTAAGACTGTCCATTGGAGGAAGTTACTTCTTCCTTCCAAACACATGTGATACATCCATGAAAACTAGAAATACGGTAGTATTAGTCTCATTTCATTGTTTTGCTTAAAAGGACAAAAATTCATAAGAAGATAATCCAGTATGATGGTCAAATGATAATAGCCAATACAAGATTGTTATTTTTTGTTCTTTTGTCAAAATCATAGATCCTAAACAAACATATACTTGTTTTCTGACCATTCACTTGCTGACTCAGTGAATCCTTATGGAATGAATAAAATAAATAAAAGGGCCAATTACCTGATTAAATTCATTGCAGAATTGGCTGGATGGTGATTAACATCACAAAGGAAAAACACAGCAGGGAATGGTAATGTTACAGAAAAAGAATAAAATAACAGTATTTGTTTTTCATTACCTGAAAACAAAGTGAGGCCTGCGCCATGGCTCACTTGGTTAATCCTCTGCCTGTGGGGCCAGTATCTCATATGGGCACTGAGGTCTAATCCCGCTTGCTCCTCTTCCAGTCCAGCTCTCTACTGTGGCCTGGAAGGGCAGTGGAGGATGGCCCAAGTGCTTGGGCCCCTGCACCCACAAGGGAGACTAGGAAGAAGCACCTGGCTCCTGGCTTCGGATCGGCGCAGCGCCAGCCATAGCGGCCATTTGGGGAGTGAACCAACGGAACGAAGACCTTTCTCTCTGTCTCTCTCACTGTCTATAACTCTACCTGTCAAATAAAAAAAAAATTAAAAAAAAAGAAAACAAAGTGTGCCCTAACATTTAAAGTGATAGTTAAAGCAAACTGACACAAACTCTATCTGCCACTATCCTCTCCTCCATTCTTTCATAAGTTTAGAGCCAGAACATATTTCAGTAACCTGTGACCTGTTTTTTTTTTTTTTGAGATTTTAAAAATTATTCCATTCACTAAAAAGATTTCATTGATAAATTTTACCCGTTTGTTGGTGAATTAAGATTGAATTCTTTCCATTTAAAAATATCATAAAGAGCAGTGCAAATAAAATAAACATAATTAATCCCCCAAACACTTTACTGCCTTTTTCTCATAAGATTTTCATTTTTGCTGTTGTTGGTCACTTTAATTTAATGTTAATGGGGCATTATATGAAGAACATGATCCAGCACATGACACAGGCCAATTCCCCAGCTGAAATAAAGCCTTTTATAAAGCCAATAAATCTTTAAAGGAAGAGAAAAGGTCTGGTGAACTTGAGTTTTTTTCCTCCAACTTACACAAAACATTCATTGGTGTATTATGATATAAATTAAGAGGAGAATAATGATTCTGAATGTTGAGGGCTCACCAGATCTACAGCCACTAATGGAAGCTAGAATTGTAACATAAAATACTGAAATTATACACAATGGATCACTGAGAAAAGCATATATGGCCGGTTTGGGATTATGTGCTATAAATGTAATGTCTCAAAATCTTCATTTATTACAAGGAAAGGAAAAAAGTAAACATCTTCAGCATTGAAACAAGTAAAATTTGCATTATTAATCTAGATTTCATTCATATGCTGGATTATTTTATCCCTAAGTAGGCTTAATTCTTCTTTTCTATTTTCTATTATACAGCAGAGACCCAAGTCAAAAATCTAGAGACATCCTGTTTTAGAAATTGTGTGCACTGGATTTCAAGGTCTTGTTGATTCAGCCTCCTTCCATTGTTCTTCCATTGCTACTGCAGACTCCTCTCTAAAAATGGCCCACCTACACTTCTGAAATAGTCTCCATGATTGTTTCCTTGCTCTTACTGCTCCTCCCTTGTGTTTTTCCTCCACAGTTGAAATCAACATGATATCCCCCAAAATAAATTCAGTCTTATTGACCCTTCATATCTAAAGCCATCCATTGTTTCTAAACACCTTTCAATATGACATATGATGTCCTGACACATGGCACCCCTCAGATTTTCCCAGCTCCAGTCATTTTTCTCCTAAGATAGCCCAGCCTCTGCCATTGCTTTTTCTTCAAACAGCTAGTGTTGCTGTATTTACCAGGCTCTCTCAACATGGTCTATATCCTCTCTGCTTATGCAAAGTTGGCACAACTTTTCTCTTTTGTTTGCTCTTCCTGTAAGAGCTTCACCACCCTGACCAGTTAAAGAACATCTGTTCATCTATCCACAATCATGTCAAGATTTGTTAATTCTATACAGACTTTCCTAACTCTCCCTCCACACAAATAGAATTGTCAACAACTCTAGACCTTAATCCACAGTCTGCATTACATGCATTTTCATAATCTGTAATACTTTATTCATTTGTTTATATTTTTTCATCTCAATTAGATCATATGCATCTAAAAAAGAGAGAGCCAGAGGCTCTTTGTAATCTGAGCACCTAGAGCCAGTGCCTTAGATGTCCATTCAAAGAGTGATGTTGAAAACTTAATGAATGCATATCCTGATATCCTATTTCACTTACAGATCTTCATTTATTATATATTTAATTATTTGATCAAAAACTCATATGATAATCATCAAAATACATTTTACTTTGTTCCATCCCTCTTCAACTTCAATTAATTGTTGGCTTGATTTCACATGCATCACATTTTCAAGAATTCAACAACTGATTTTGCAAGAAATATCTTTAGAGAGTTCTATTGCCTCCTCTGACTCAATTGAGAGTGACTGACATCTTTCTCAGGATGCTTATTGCTTGTTATCTTGTATTATAGAGATTTCTGTGATTCTCTTGTTTTCTGTGCTGGCATGTAAGCTTCTAGAAGGTCTATTTATTTTTATGTGTTGAACATTTTTGTATCTCACACAGAGGATACTGAACTTGGTTAATATTTAATGAATGAATGAGAAAGGGATAAGTCAAATTGTATATGTCCTTCTCCTATGAAGCCTAAATCACCAACAGATATTAGAACAAAAACACATTAGGAGAGGAAAGATTCATGTTTATATTCAAAGATGTTAATATGAAATATATTCCTTAAATGATATTTCATTTCTCAGTATTTTTAACAATAAAATATTCTGGTAGAATCCAAGCTCTATTGAAAGTTCCGTGTGCATGATGTGTGCGATTTGAATATGTTTGAGAGTCCTTCTGAAAGTTCGATATCACTTTGGAAAAATATTCTACTCCATTATTCACGCAGTGAGCTAGATAATCTTCCCAGAGGGATGTTTTCTCTTTGTGTACACGAGAGTCTGAATAATGTTCTCTTGGAGATGGTCTTGTACCATGAGGTGAGCTACTGCATTTGGTACCAGCTGCAGTCTCCACATGGTTTTCTGCTATCATTTCAGAAAAACACATTGAAATAGACACATCTGAGCATGATGAATGAAGGGATCACTGCGGCAGAGTCCTGTGCTCTGTAGGAAAGGATGCCGACAGTCAGTCAGATGGAGAGTTTAAAAGGGCATCCTGGCTGCCCAAGCAATCTGAAAACCATCAAAAGTGATAAATTTGGTGAGATTCCCAGGTCGTGTTCCAACTTCACAGTTTGAGCATAGCCAAAGTTCAGTTTGTGATCCAATTTCCCTCCTATACATTATCAAAATGTGGTTTCCTTCTTGATATCACTTTTAGCTAACTGAGGTTCCACATACCCACTCATCCCAAACATTGAACTCCACCAGTTCTTTCATTACTCATTGACCAAAATGAAGCTGTCTTATATTGCATAAAATCTAAATGGTCAACATTATTTTATCATATTTCTGTCTAACATTTATACCCGGCTTCTCACATATGCATTTTAGCATTTTTGACTTGCACCACATTGATCAGATGTCTCTACTAAATTAATGAAATATGACTAAATGAAAATTAGGTTAGTTTTGTGTAATTAATACCTAGCCATAGATTGCTATCTCTTAGAAAATTAACTTATTGACACTCTTCATACTTTCTCAATACCTATTCAATCCTAGGCATTGTTTCAGGCAGTGGAAATACATCTCACTGACTAACACTGAAAAATATCTGGGTAGTTAAATAACCACTAATGACTCAGAATAGGAACATGCATAATGACAATAATGATAGCTTTCCAAGTTAAAGAGCAGTTAAGAAGTCTGGTTGACCCCTCCTCACATTCCCATTGAAAGACAACTCTAAGCAAAAAGTGATATGGAAAGACTGAACAAAACTGGAAATTGGAACATTGTTTTTAATCTGGCAAATACCAATACAATGTTGACTAACCAAAGTTCTGATAAAGCCTTGAGGCAAAAGAGCAGGTGCACATAAAGCAACCCTGCGATGCATTTCTGTTCGCTCTCCAGGATTACAATCATTCACCACCCCCACCACAGACACAGGCATCTTTGTGGTCAGAAGGAAATAAGTCACTCCCTTATAATACTAGCACTGGTTCTTGAGGCACTCAGAGCCGTTTTAACCTTCCTCCCTCTCTTTATGCAATAATTCTTTCCTACTTCAATTTCTGGAAACATGTTGTATTTGAAGGAGAAAAAAACGACAAATGTTGGTATTTTCTTTCTGGCAATAGCTCTAAGGGACGTAACCTTGCCAAAGCACAGGAACAATGCAATCTGCTACTGTTGCTCACCCTTTATTACTGTGGTAAGAGCATCTCTACAAAGTCTTTCAGTTTATTCAGAAATGGGTAATTTCTGGTTCAAAATCACCCATTGCTTTTTTTTCCCAACACTATGAACAGTGAAACAGGAAAAATAGCAAAACAAAATCTTGAGAATTGTAGGTCAAAATATTAGTAGTTGCTGTTTCTGTTTAATCTTGGTATTTTTCAAATTTTCTAAAATAAACTTGCATTCTTCTTGCAGTCTTGAAAAACTAAAAGCTCTCCATAATAATGTAGAAAACCAATTTAAAGTAGGTCAGTCTTATGTTTTCAACAGATACTAGGACAGCTGGGATCTTGCTCAATTGGATACAATTCAAAGATGATGTAGAATTTTGAGTTCTACACAAGAAATGCCATCTGACTCAACAAACTCTGTGACCTTGTTCAGACTTTGACTAGCTAGACTGGTACAGTACACACTTGAAATAGCTGCCTTGGAAGGAATTTAGAGAGGCCTAAGATTTACATGAACACAAAAAAGTTCTTTTGTGAGAATTTCAAATTTTAATTCAATTTTTTTTGACAGGCAGAGTGGACAATGAGAGAGAGAGACAGAGAGAAAGGTCTTCCTTTGCCGATGGTTCACCCTCCAATGGTCGCCGCTGGCCGGCGCACCGCGCTGATCTGATGGAAGGAGCCAGGTGCTTACCCTGGTCTCCCATGTGGGTACAGGGCCCAAGTACTTGGGCCATCCTCCACTGCAATCCCTGGCCACAGCAGAGAGCTGGCCTGGAAGGGGGCAACTAGGACAGAATCCGGCACCCCGACCGGGACTAGAACCCAGTGTGCCGGCACCGCAAGGTGGAGGATTAGCCTAGTGAGCCACGGCGCTGGCTTCTTTAATTCAATTTTCTTACGAAACAGGTAAAATGAACTCAGGCATTTGGGTGCTTGATGCAGGAGTAAATGTTCAAGTCTTATAAAGTAATAGCAAAGGGGAAATAAATAAATAATAGCAATGATGTTGATGATGATGGTAAATAAGATTACCAATGCACAGACTTGGATGACCAGTAACAACAACAAAAAAATGTTTGTGTGTTTCACAATCACCTAAGCATGCTGCTTTTTTGTAATGTTATAAATTGTCCATGAGTGATGATCTTTCCTACTCCTTTTTGTTAATTGACTTTAGTTTACATGATATTACAAAGGTATCCTGCCCATAAATCACCTACCTTAGAGAATACCCTTTCCCTTCTGTGTTGGATAATCTGTCTCATTCTCTATGAATCTTGAGGCCCACAGTTGAAAATAAAAACCAGCCCATATTCTGTAAGTATAGTGAAGCAAGACCTTGCCACAGAGGAAAAGAAATATAAAAACATTCAAATTTGGTTTCTGTGCTCAATGAATTTATCAATTAACTATACCTTTTTCCTGCAGGGTCAACAACAGAAAAGATATAACCAAATAGTTTACCTATTCACTTCCCGAAACTGAATGAACAAGGATACTGGACTTTGTAAAACCCTATTGTTTTGCAAGTCTTACTGACATCTGGTGGCTAAATCTCAACACAAGTTGAGCTGTTTTTGCAAGCAAACATCTTGTATTTGTAAACCCACTTGACATTGAGGGAACACTAAACAGTTAACATCTATGTAAGTATTGTAAAGCATTCAAAAGTCACAGCAAAATTTTTGCCACTGATCCATGTTCAAAGATACTCATGAATATTTTCAGGTTTTCAAACTTGTAAACTTGAAGATGGAATTTTCAAGTTTCAATTTTCTGCTGTAAGCTGTTACCATGTGGAAAAAATCTGTGATACTAGGGGTTAAAACAAAATCCCCAAGCAGACTTAATTGATCTTGAATCTATTTTGGATTGTTTTCTTCCACATACACATAGACTACTGAAAGTGGCAATAGTTTTTTTTTTTTTCCCTTAATTTTAGCATTATGTTATAGATGTCCATTTTATGGTCTACATTTTTTTTCTTCATAATGATACTGTTTTCCAGTGGTTTTCAAACTTTAGAGTGCTAAACAATCAATCAATATTTTCTTATTTTAAAATGCATAGTGAAGAACACTGCTAGAACATCTGAATTAGTAGGTCTTGGGAGAAATATGGAATATGTGTTTTACTCTATTCTTGGACTAGATTTTAGAAATCCCATTGGAATCCATCTTCTGATTTTCAAGTTCTTCTGACCCATATCAGATTCTGCACATCCCCCTTGTCTCTGTAACCCCAAGCTTCTTTGTTACCTACTTACCATCCATTTCTAGAACATCCAATAATGTAATCCTAATTATGCTTTAGTGAACATCTCTGCAACTTCAGACATGTTGATTCAGAACAGCCTGGCCCAAGTCAACTTGAAAGAAATTTACTGATTGCTTCAAGGAAGGATAGGTGATTAGTATTAGAGGAGGCTTTTATTATGAGAATTACTGAAGAAAAAACTGCATCTTAGTGGGATTCCTTCACTGGCAGAATACGTCCTTGGAGGAGTGAGCATCTGGCCTAGTGGTTAAGAAACCAGTTAAGATACCACATCCTACATTACAGTAATTGGGTTTGATCTCCAGCTCTAGCTCCTGACTCCGGGAGACAGAAATGATGACTCAAATAGTGGTGTTCCATCCACCCATGTGAGAGTACTGGATTAACTTCTCAGCTTCTAGCTTATCCTCAATCTCTGGTTGTTGAGGGCATTTGAGGAGTGAACCAGAAGATGGGATCACTCTCTCTCTTGTCTCTGTTTCTTGCTCTCTCTACTGTATCCATTTTTTTGTATATCAAATAAATAAATACAAATTCTATGGAGAAATATGACCTGTGGTGTGCTATTTGCTGTGTCACTCCATACAGAAAATAAACTCACCTATACCAACAAGTAGAGCAACGAGGCGGTGAAACACAGGTTTCCACAGCAGTCATTTGAACACCAGTATCCAATTGTGTCTTTTTTCCAATTCACATACCTATACAACCCCTTTGCTGTGTTTCTATCATTTGCAAAGTCAGATCTGTCATTTTAGCTTCCTTGCACATGGGCTACTTCACTTTTAAGCTCTTGTGGTTTTCTTGCCCCATTTTTTGAACTCAGAATCCTATTCTCAACTTACAATACACTTATTTGATCTGTCAAAAGAAAAAAATTATTTATTTTCCATGGCTGTAATGTTACCAGAGTGTTAACCTCCTCATTATCTTCAGAATGTTGTAAAAACTTCATGATTTATCCAACCTCAGTTCATGCTCAAATACCCTCCAGCAAACTTTGGATTTTTAACTGTCTTAGAACACAAGTCCCTCCTTCGTTAGGGTTTATTATTATTATTATTTAAATCATTATACATTCTGTGTGTATGAAAAACCTCTCTTTCTCCATATAGATAATTACTAGTGACCCTGCAATGGCAGTTTAAATTTTGAACAAGACCTTGTATGATCACCTCCTATAAAAACCATCCTTCCTGTGAGTCAATGTCCTTATGTCCTTTTCCTTCATAGCAATTTTCACAATTTTCAGCCATAGATTTTTATCTTTGCTTGCTGGTATGATATCATTCCACAACAACTGAAATTATGTATGTATTGCCAAATATCAATACTACATATTCAAAAGTGGTATGTTGAATATGTTTTTAGAGGTTTTAGCTTTTAGTCCAAAATAATCGATTACTATTGAGTTCTACCATTTGCTGACACAGTAGTCTAAAACTGGTTAAGACAACACTAAATTTAGCAACAGAATGCTGATCCTATGAAGCTGAGAGATGCTGTTACTCCATTTATTTATGTAGTTATCAGAACTTTGAAGCAAGTCTCCAGTGCAGTTAATGTCCAGTAATCTCAAATGACTATTTGTCCATCACCATGCACACCCTAAAGCTCTCCACACCTTTTCTGGGTTTCAACCAACATGACGTAGTGCCCAGCAAAAGAATCAAATTGCTGCTCCCCTCTTGCCCTCGCTGTGTCTCAGTTCATTATTTTATAAAATAACCTCATTTCAACTTGTCCCCACATAATTTTTGTCTTCTGTCCTCCAATTTTCATTTTATTATGTAAATTCAATGGCTTTTTTTAATTGTAAACCATGAAATGCAGACTATTTAAAAAGAATTAGTGTATTTTTCAGTTAACAAAAAATACACTGTTGAGGTAAAATAGCATTTGAGGAAAAAAGTACTGTTGCTTTTTAATGTTCATGTGAGGACCTAGGACTTCATACTATTTGCTTCAAGAAGTATCAAAGGCTGGCGCCGCTGCTCAATAGGCTAACCCTCTGCCTGCTGCTCCGGCACCCCGGGTTCCAGTCCCAGTTGGGGCGCCAGATTCTGTCCTGGTTGCTCCTCTTCCAGTCCAGCTCTCTGCTGTGGCCCAGGAGTGCAGTGGAGGATGACTCAATTGCTTGGACCTTGCATTTGCATGGGAGACCAGGAGGAAGCACCTGGTTCCTGGATTCGGATCAGTGCAGTCCGCAGGCCACAACACGCCAGCCATAGCAGCCACTTGGGGGGTGAACCAACAGAAAAAGGAAGACCTTTCTCTCTGTCTCTTGCTCTCTCACTGCCTAACTCTGCCTGTCAAAAAGAATAAATAATATAAAAAAGAAGTATCGAAGATTATTGAAAGCTTTCCATTATATACATTTTTCATATAATTTATATTTATAATTGGTACCACAAGTACTTTAATTCACTTTCATGGTACTTCTGTTTTTTATGACATAGAATATATCTTACTTCTTTTTTTTCTCAACTGAATCCCCTAGTATTAAAATGCCAATCTGCCAGCATTATTTTCTTTTTTCACCCAACTTCAACAATTATCAATTGTGATCAATGTTGCTCAATTTTACTTCTTTCCACTTTCCCAATCCCTGATGTTATTTCGAAGCAAATCTCTGACAAAATATAATTTCATTCATATGCAGTGTCTCTAAGCAAAAAAATAAAAAATAAACAACCACAATACCATTATCACATTAAAAAATTTTAACACTAATTCTTTTCTTTTATAAGATTTATTTTATTTATTTGATAGACAGAGTTACAGAGAGAGGTAGAGACAGAGAACCATCTGCTGGCTCACTCTCCAGATGGCTGCAACGGCCAGAGCTGTGCCAGAGCCAGGAGCCAGGAGCCAGGAGCCAGGATCTTCCTCTGTGTCACCCACACGGGTGACGGGCCCAGGGACTTGGGCCATCCTCCACTGCTATCCTAGGCCACAGCAGAGAGCTGGATTAGAAGAAGAGCAACTGGGACTAAAACCGGCACCCATCTGGGATTGCTGGAGCTTCAGGCCAGGGCTTTAACCCAATGTGCCACAGCGCCAGCACTAACACTAATTCTTAAAAACAAGAAACATTAAGAGACTGTTAATATAACTATGATTGTTTGATTTTCAAAAATAAATTTTCCAAGTTAGGACCAAAAATGTCTATACATTACAATTGCTGTCTTTTTAAAATTTTATTTCTTTATTTATGTCAACAGATTTCATGTATTTTATGTATACAGGCTTAAGAACATGATAATACTTCCTACCCTTTACCCACCTCCACTTTCCCTCCTCCTTCCTTTCTTATTTTTCTTTTAATTTTTGTGTTACCAAGCTTTTAATTTACTTTATAATCACACACTTAATCTACTATTAAACAGAATTCAACCAATAGAAAGTAGAAAGACTATTGTTCCTCAGGAGTATAGACAAAGGCTATAAACAATAAATAAAATCTACAAACAAGGGCTATAAAAATAAATCTCAACATGACAATTTCACTCATGAATGTTACTTTTTTGTACTCTAAATATTAGTTACTACTTATCAGAGAAAACATGATATTTGTCTTTTGGGGGGGCTGGCTTATTTCACTGCACATATGGTCTCCAATTGCATCATTTTGTTGCCAAATACAGAATTTCATTCATTTTTATGGCTGAGTAGTATGATGGAATACTATGTATGTACCTATATATATATATTTATAAAATATATGTTATATAATATATATAATACTATGTATAGGGCTGGCGCCACGGCTCAATAGGCTACTCCTCCGCCTTGCGGTGCCGGCACACCGGGTTCTAGTCCTGGTCGGGGTGCCGGATTCTGTCCCGGTTGCCCCTCTTCCAGGCCAGCTCTCTGCTATGGCCCGGGAGTGCAGTGGAGGATGGCCCAAGTGCTTGGGCCCTGCACCCCATGGGAAACCAGGATAAGTACCTGGCTCCTGCCTTCAGATCAGCACGATACGCCAGCTGCAGCGTGCTGGTTGAGGCGGCCATTGGAGGGTGAACCAACGGCAAAGGAAGACCTTTCTCTCTGTCTTTCTCTCTCATTGTCCACTCTGCCTGTCAAAAAAAATGTAAAAAAAAATACTATGTATGTACTGATATATATATGTATATGTACTGATATATATACATATATATATATATGTCATCAGCTGATGGACATCTGGGTTGATTTCATATCTTTGCTAATAAGAATTGAGTTACTACAGGCATGGAGGACCAGAAAACTCTTTCATATGCTGATTTCCTTTCCTTTGAGTGAATTCCCAGGAATGGGATGGCTGGCTCAAATAGTAGATCTATTTTCAGATTCCTAAGGAATCTCCATACTGTCTCCCATAATGGGTGTACTAGTTTACACTCTGATCCGCAGTGGATTAGAGTGCCTTTTTTTTCCCATATTCTTTGAAGCATTTGTTATTTTTGATTTTTGGATAGCCATTCTAGCTGGGGTGAGGTGAAACTACAGTGTGGATTCGATTTGCATTTCCCTGATGGTTAGTGATTCTAAGCATCTTTTCATGTGTCTATTGGCCATTGTATTTCATCCTTCAAAAAATACCTGTTTGTGTCCTTAGGACATTTCTTAAATGGATTGTTTGTTTTGTTATTGCTGAATTTCTTGATGTCCTTACATTCTGCTTATTAATACTTTATGGTGTTTTCCCCCGTATATCCTATTATGGTTACTGGTTTTTGTTAATTATGGTTCTTTTTCTTTTCTCTATTTTTAGAATATAGCAGTGATGCTATTACTGAAATGAATGAACTCCTTTTCCTGAAATGTAATTATTGACGCTTGAATGATAGAATTTTAGTACTGTACACAGGCTTAAGTCATTATTGTGACAGACTTAGAAGAAATGCGTAGAGTGAACTATTAAGTATTCTTAAATGAATTTTGCAGTAACTGGTATTCTTGGTTTTTCCTACTAAAATCACATTAATTCAGAACTTGTAGCCTACTATATGAGTTTGGCAGTCTATGGAGTGACCAGCAACTTTGATGTTTGCACTAAGATTTTATTTGGAATGCAAGGGGGGTTGAAAGATGTTTCAGTAGTAGTATGCATGTAACTAGTTGATTTGAACTATATGCTAAAGGTATCTACAGTTTCTACAAATGGCTTTTTTAAAGTCATCATAGATAGTTGGTGAAAATGTTGAGAATCATACTTTTATTGCACATCAGCTACATAAACAGTTTTGTACAATAAAAATACTAATTTGTTTGATATTTCATGATAAACTACTGTCATGTTCAGCTTCATTGCATGCAATGCAGTCCTGGTCCATCAGATCATGTGTTCTGGAGAGTGTTCTTTATTCAATAAAGTTTTAATTTAGCATAAAAAAACTTTATCAATTGCAAAGTTTGCAAATATTTTCTCCCATTCTGTTGTTGAGTGTTTCCTTTGCTGTGCAGAAGTATCTTACATTGACATAATTGCATTTGTCTGTGTTTGCTTTTATTGTCTATGCTTCTAAGGACTCATCTAAAATGCCTTTGGCTAGGTCAATGTCTTGTAGTGTTTACTCTAGTTTTCTTCTAGTGATTTGTTGGTTTACATCTTTGAATTGATTTTTGTATACAATACTAGGTAGAGGTCTTATTTTGTACTTGTGCATGTAGAGATCCAATTTCCCCAGCACCATTTGGTGAAGAGACTCCTTTCTCCAGGGAGTGATTTTAGCTCTTTTGTCAAAGGTTAGTTGGTTGTTGAAAAGTGAGTTAATTTCTAAGGTCTCTAATCTATTCTAATTGATCCACATGCCTATTTTTCTGCCAGTACCAGGCTTTTTGGATTATAGTTGCTTGCAATATGTCTTGAAATCTGGTATTGTGATGCCTCCAGCTTGGTTTTTATTGTTTCAGATTGCTTTAGCCATTTGGGGTCTCTTGTGTTTCTATATGAACTTTAGAGTCATATTTTCCTTGATCAGAGAAGATTTCTTATGAGTTGCAATAATCTCTTAGTGGACTCTTTTAGTTTCCCTATGTATAGAATTATGTCATCTGCAAACAGGGATAATTTTACTTTTCTTCTTTTCATATTTGTATCCCTTTGATTTCTTTTTTCTTGATTAATGTCTCTGGTCAAAGCTATATTGAATAGTAATGATTACAGTAGGGATCCTTTCCTGGTTCCAGAACTTAGTGGAAATACTTCCAGTTTATGATGTTGGCTATGGATTTGTCATATATTGCCTTCATCATGTTGAGGTATGTAACTTCTATAACCAATTTGCTTAAAGTTTTTACCATGAAAGGATGCTGTATTTTATCAAATGCTTCATATTCATCTACTGAGATAATCATGTGGTGTTTATTCTTCATTTTGCTAATGTGATGTATCATGTTTATTGATTTGCATATGCTGAGCAATCCCCATATCCAAGGGAAAAATTCCACTTTGTCTGGGCATATGAACTTTTTGATGTGCTATTGGATTTGATTAGCTAGTATTTTCTTGGGGATTTTTTGCATCTATGTTCATCATGGATATTGGTCTGTAGTTCTCTTTCTTGTAACTTTTTCTGGTTTTGGAATTAAGATGATGCTGGCCTAACAGAAGGAGTTTTGGAGGATTCCTTCCCTATATATTGCTTTAACCATATTAGTTAAAAGGAATTAGGTTTTAGTTCTTCTTTAAAAGTTTGGTGGAATGCAGTATTGAAGCCATACGGACTTCTTTTGTTGGTAGGGTCTTTATTACTGATTCAGTCTTCATCTGGTTATTGGTCTATTAGGCTTTTTATGTCTCCATGCCTCAATTTTGGTAAATTATATGTGTTCAAAAATCTATCAGTTTCTTCAGCATTTTCCAGTTTGTTGGCATATAGTTGTTTGTAGTAATTCCTGATAATTCTTTTTATTTTTGTGATATTCATTGTTACATCTGATTTTTTGTCTCTGATTTTATTAATTTCGGTGTTTTCTCTGTCTTGAGTTGGGTGGACTAATGGTTTATCAATTTTAATTATATTTTCAAAAAATCAGCTCTTCATTTCATTGGTTTTTAGAATTTCAATTTTTCTTTTTTCTTCTCTAATTTTTATTATTTCTTTTTTCCCTACTAATTTTGGGTTAATTTTGTTTTTCTTTTTCTGGGTCCTGGAGATGATTATTGAGTGGTTTATTTGACACATTTTCAATTGCTTAATGTTGGTACTAATTGCTATGTGCTTTCCTCTTAACATTAGTTTTTCTGCATCCCATGTTTTGATATGTTGTGTTGTCATTTTCATTGATTTTGAGGAATTTTTTATTTTCTTTTTGATTTCTTCTATGACCCACTGTTCATTCAGGAGCATATTGTTAAGTCTACATGTGTTGCAAACCTTTTTTATAGCAAAATGCATTCCAAATTTGATGATTTTTTAGAAATAGTTCAATCTGATCATTTGTGACCATGAATCCATCCAAAGATCCAAGGATTAATAAATACAATGGATTATTAAAGGAAAAGTAGAAGATTATTCAAATAATAGTTTTAAAAGTTTACTTACTTAATTTTATTTATTTCCAGGGCAGAGCAAGAAAGTAAAAGTGAGAGAGAAAGAGATTTCTTCCATCAGCTAGTTCACTTCCAAATGCCTACAACAGCCAAGGGTGGATAAAAAAAATCATGAGCCAGAAATGCTGTCCAGGTTACCCACCTACATGGGTGGCAATGATGCAAGTGCTTACTTGAGTCATCACTTGCTGCTACCCAAGGTGTGTATTAGCATGAACCTGGGTCAGAAGCAGTGGGAGAACTTGATTCTAGACACTGTGATTTGGGATGCAGACATTGCAAGAGGGAGCTTAATTTACTGTGTTAAAATATCTACCCCCAAAATATAGATTTAAGTAAGAATAACTTTGGGAGATGTTAATTTATCAACCTTGTTTATTTAACTTCAGTCATATTATCTAAAGAACATTGAAGAATTGTGAAAGTAGGTAAGCATGTTTTGTTCCTGATTGCAATAAGAGATCTCTTATGCATCAACAAATGAATTATTTTAAATAGTTTTTGATAAGTTTGGAATGTATCATTCTCCATTTACAAAATATTTAAATAATGGATATTAAAATGACATTGGGTCTCTATCAATTTGATGAAACCATTTTATCTCTTCCTTAACCTGTTAATATGGTAAACTATCACACTCATGTTAGATTATCTGACATTAATCTTTGAAGTCATGAAACTATTTAATGAGGTTTCCTTTTTCTCTTTTTAAGGATAGCACTGGGTTATGGGTTATATTTGCTAACACTTTGAGTGATATCTATGTTTATTTGAAAAACAGGTCTGCTTTTTTGGCACTATTTTTGTTATGTTGGTATCAGCATGTTTTAATCTCATATAAATAGTTGGAAGGTCTGAAAATTTTGAAATAGAAAAAGAGTTTTGCTTCCTTGAAGAGTTTGTGGATTTAGCTTCTATGTTGCATTTTAGTTGTGTTTCTCTGGTAAATAGTCTCTCCTTGACCAAACATTAGCCAGGCTCTTCTGAACCCACTGAGGCCCTAACAGCCCAGTCTTGGCAAGAATTCTGCCAGGTTAATTTAGCAACAATACTTCTGTATGAATATCAGTTTCAATATCTGATCAAGTTCCTCACCCTTTATTATACCCCAAGCATATCTGATCACTTTGGTCTGCCTTTTCAAGCATCTTGTGTCAATTTTGGTGATAGCTTCCCCTGGCCCCTAATAGTTTACCTTAGCAACTTTCTATCCACTGACCCATCCTCTCCTCCTTGAATTAAATTCTCACTTTTCCTTGTTGTATGTGAAGTTGAATCCAATCCCTTCATAGTATTGCGAAATCCCCAGATCCTTGTACCTATCATGATAATCCCTCTTAATAAAGTGTGCCTGCTGTTGTAAATTCCTTCAGGTTAGGGACTGGTCTACATCTCTGCACATTCAATACTTAGCACAACTTTGCCAAGTAGCAAATAATCCATGAATGTATGGGGATACAGTTTGAGAATTTCTGGATCTGATTAAGCACTAACAATGAAAGGAAAATATTTCTCAAACTTTCAAAAATGAAAATAAAATAAAATTATACCAAGAGTCATCTGAGAGGCATCAAATAAAATGGTTAGAAGCTCAGACATGTGCTACTACAGGCTGATGTATCTATTGAAAATGGAGAAATTGTCTCACCTTTATAATGATTAATTTTTACAATGGGATCTTCAAATAGGACCAATTAATGCTAGTTCTTACTATTTTGGGGAGGCAACTTAAGTTTTGTTTTTGATTATCAGGCAGAGATATTTACAGGAAACAGCCCTAGTTTAGTTTTTCTTACATTCTCAAATGAAGCAAAATTAACATTTGCTTATGTGGCCCAACTGCCTTTGGGAGATTCTCAGTTCTGGTCTATTTTTCTTTCATTTAATTTTATTTTATTTTAACAGAACAATTCTCTAAACTCCATGTACATTTTCTCCAAAGCAATCAATGATCCATCTGCTTTAAGACAGAATCAACATACAAAAAGATTTTTCTTATAATACCATTGTTAGCTGGATGATATTTATTTAACTCTTATGGAAATTTTTTGTTTCTATGCCAGCTAATTTGTTGCGTTTATTATTCTACCATGCAAAATAATTATCTTGTGTATTTCAGACAGTAGAGAAGCCTTGCCTCAATTAAAATAGCAAGTCATCCCGTTGTACCATATAAGCATTCAACCCCTGGTCACCTCAAGTTGAATCATCATAGCAAGGTGACAAAATCACTAACTTGATGAAACTAATAATGACTGATAGAACATAACATTATTATTATGCTAAAGATATAACAAAACAGATTATAATCTACCATATACACAACAGTGTTTTGAAGTTCAAATTTTGCACTTTTCTGAAACCTTTTCTATTTGACTCTTGTTTTGTTTTTGCAAGTCTTGAATATCACAGGGTACAGCCATACATTAAACATTAAAATGTTAATTTGGTTTTTTTTTTGAGAAATGACAGGTTCTAGAGGAAACATTAAGATAGCAAAGACAAACAAATTCTGCATATACAAACCTGTGAAATGTTTTCAAAGGCCTGAAAATCTCTACCCTTGTTCTGATCTTTTAAAAACAAAAGAATAAAAAAAGAGTGAGACTGTAATGAATGCACATATATTTGTTATTCATGTTTCAGAGATGAACCCTTAATTGTTTTCCCTCTGCTATTAACAATCGAAATATTTAGCATACTCTTGAAAATAAAAACATGAGTAAAGTATTTAATATTCTAAACATTCCTCTACCATATCCGACTATGCATTTTTCTTTTATTAAATGTACACAGCTCATTTCTCCTTATAGACTACTTAAACTGCTTCATAGAATATACAATCTTTCATTCATTCTTATAGCTTTTAATATGCTTAGCATAATGTCATTCACAAGTAAAACATTCTATAAGTATATTTGAGTTTTCTTTTTAAAAATTATCAAAACCACATCAGTATACATTGATAACATCAAGAGATCTTTTAAATGGAAATGTTAAAAGATACATAAAAACCTTACAAAGCATAGAGAAAGCATGATTGACTAGAAACTGTAAGTCATGTATTATTCCCTCTATAGTGTAAATATTCCTCATTGGCTTGGTCAATGCAAGACCAAATATATCATTTATCATTGTTCGATATGTTTTCCAAGCACTCAAATATTTCTGTAAGTTTTTGGTTTCTATTTTGTTTGGTTTCTTGCAATTGAATCTACTAATTAAAAAAATACTGAAATTCCAAAGTTCAGGCTTGCATAGGTTTCCTGAATGTAGGAATTTCCATGATATACTTAGCTTTAAAAAAATTAATCTTCAGAAGGAAATTACAATTGCATTGAAGTGACAGACAGATTTTAGGCAGATTTTTACAAAATCTTTAAATAGATATTTTTCTTCAATTTTTTTTTCCTTTGGTGATTAGATCCATTTAACTGTGATTGGAATCAAGGGAATTATTCATATATAGACTTGATATTTTTGAAACATTGGGTTGACAAGTTTTTCACTGTATTTTTCCACATTATAAAGTGCCCCAAGCACTATAGTAATTTTCCCCCCTGGAATATATAAAGTGCCTAATATAAACTCTGACTATTGTTGCTGAGTTGGGCTTTAGAATTTTCTCTTGGGGCATTATAATAAGCTCAGCACCTACATTTGTCTTAAAATTCATTATAAAACTACATAAGCCTTCAATATGACAATTTCTATTATTTTGGGACTTTTTTTGTCTAGTCCTAACAAAACTTTTTAAAAGTTTTCAATTTTTCCTATGTAGCAGTGTAAGGGAGTAAAATTATCCTTTCCCTACTCATCATATAGTTCATGACTGAGATCCCTTTAAAAATAAAAAGGAAAAATATTAATAAGAGAAGTCTACAAATTTATTTTTTTAACTGATTATTTTTATTTTCTGTTTGTGGAAGGGGGAAGAGAGAGAAGGCAGGGCAGACAGAAATGAAGTACCCTGAGCCCTCTGGTTCAGCTTCTTAGATGACCACGGCAGCCAGGTCTGGGCCAGGCCAACCCTAGTAGCTGGAAACTCCATCCTGATCTCTCACAGGGTTGGCAATGACTCAAGCACTCAGGCCACTATCAGTCACCTTCCTAAGCACGCTAGCAAGAAGCTGAATCAAAGTGATAGAACTGAGCCAGGAACTGGCCCTTCCATATGGGATGCCGGCAACACAGCAGCAACATAATTCACTGTGTCACAACGCCAGTTCCATAAATTTACTGACTTGAAGTTTTATGTGCCGTGGGAGCCTTTAAAAATGAAATCCAAAGAAACAGAGAAAATTGTGTTTTGGGGCAGAACTATGAATGGAGGATAAAAGATATGATCTAGTGGTAATAAATGGGAAAACTTAGCAAAGCCTGCTTGTTCAGATTCTACATCTTCATTCCTTTCCTCCAGGTATAAGTAGGAGCTCTCTAAAATGTGGGCTTTGTAACCTACTTTAAAGGAAAGTCAGAATTCTTTTATGGCTTACTTTAGGAGAGAACAGTGACAGAAGGCTAGACAAATCTTTGAAATTTTACCATAGTCTCAGAAGCTAAGATGTCATGTTTCAAGGTAGCACGCCCTCAACCTCATCAAGAACAAACAGTAATTTCAGGAAAAAATGATTCATAAAGATAAGAGTATTATGCCAAATAGAAGGGATCACATTTCTGTTATTATTTAAATATCTATAGCTTAGTTTGGAGAATGTGCCATTTAATTCATCAAATGTCCATTATGTGTCAGGCTAAGAATTGGTGAAAAACCAAATGGAAAATAATTCACTAAGTGTTGAACAAAATGAATGACAAATGTTTTGTTGTAGAGAGGCAGAGGTAGGAGTGAGAAGAACATAGATACAGAGGCACAAGATGTATATTTCTATTCAGTTATGGTTGACTCTCCTCTGTATGCAAAAATATACCCAGTGATCCTGGAAAACCAAGAATGGCAAAGCATTCATGTTAATAATTATTTTGATTGTCTATAGGGATGCACTCCAGTTGGAAAGGAAGGATTGTTGAATTTTCTTGGAATTTTTTGATGGTAAAGAGTAGGGGAAATTGACCAAGAAATAGAGAGGATTAGGAATAGTTTTCAGGATGGAAATCTTTGATTCTAATATTTAAATTTTCATTCCTCTGTGAATTTGGGAAATGCTATTCTGTAGAAATTCCCTAGCTTATCCAAGCCAAACATTAGAACTGGACTTACCAATACAGGTAATTCTCTGAGGTTCTGGAAAAGTGTGATGGAGAAATTGCCATCGATTGCCATGTTTACGTCTTCCCCTAAGACATTATACTCCTGTTCAGTTGGGGCTCAATAAATACTTGCTGAGTAAAAGTGTAAGTGTGTAGCATTAAAGAGCTGCTTCATTCTTTTGATTAAATCAAGAAGAAAAGCAAAATGTTTAAAAATGTTCATATAAATTGAAAATGAATGTTTTTAAAATCTATTCCTTAGCTAGCTAGCTAAGTTTCCCACTAGTTCAAAGATAAGTAGTAAAACCAACTTGTGAACAAGATTTGGTATGCAAGGATAGACAGCAACATAGTGTGAACTGCAAAACAATGATCCTTTCCCTTTTTCCTTATTCTCATTTAGGAAACTATCAAATTACATTTTGGCATGCACGAGATAATAGGGTAGTGGGGTGGCCAAATATGATGGCGTTCATTACTGAATTTAAACAGTGTAATAAAACCTCATATACAATAATATGTCCAGGAACAGCATAAGCCCTAGTATTGAAAATGAAACATTAGTTGTAAACCATTATCCTACTGGAGAGCATTGTTAAGGGAAATTTTAAGAATTTTAAATAGTTAAAATTTAGGGGAATAACAGCAATATGATTGGGAGATATTTAATTCAGTTAAGTGTGCAGTCTCCAAGCTAATGAATTACTTTTTTAAGAGAGAACCATAGTACATTTGGACAATAACATAAAATTAATTAACTCAGTGTCACAGTACACACAGATTTTGAAACACAAAAAAGCTCAGTGTTACCTGAGTATGAGCCAGAAACTCTGTTTTCCAGACGTAGACCTAGATGATCGCTGTAACTCATGTCATTTTATGACATTTCACGGAACATTTGGTCATTATGACATTTATGATGCAATGAAATAGGCCATAAAATGCTGTAAATTGTTGGCAACAAAAGACATTCGTATTTGTGATGGGCATTTTAGTTTCAATCAAGATGTTAGTAGGTTAAATCGAAGCTCAGCTTAGAGTTGAATGTTAGTTTTAATTTAGATTTCTTTTCTTTTCCTCTGTCCTCTCCTTTTACCTCTCATTCTTCCCTGCCCTGCCCTCCTCACCTCTCTGTTATTCTATGAAGTCAGATTTGCAGGACAAGTTTTAAAATAATTATTTTTGTTCAAAACTTCAATGTCAATGCTTCTATAGAGTGAAACAACATCTATGAATTTATGAATGAGAGCTGCAAATTCAGAAACTGGAAAACACATGAATTCCAGGTCATTTGTATATCTTGTGCTCGAGTGAAATGTGAAACATGAAAAATTTCTAATAGTAAGTGATGACTGTGGTTTTCCTATATCTTGCAATATTCTTTCTTGAAAACTTTTTTTAGCAACTACTGTCAGATTTTTTAAATGTCAGAACTGACCTCACTGAATTATGCATGGAAAAAGACACTAAAGTGCTTTTCCAGGAAATAGATGTAAAAGGCATAAAAGTCATCTTAGGAAGAGAAAGACAAATGTGAACCACAGAGCCATCTACTAACAAAGCTTAGATCTTAGTTCTCTTAGATCTTGTTACTTTGTTTAGTTTAGTATTTATAAATTCAACAGAATATCATTTGAATAATAACATTTGGTGCTACATACATTATAACCAAACTGTTAAAAAACATAACTAGCCACAATGGTTGAGCAAATGTATTGGTAAAAGTCCAGCTACAATCATATATTAAAGTAAGAGTAACACTATTATTATCAAGGATGCAACATTCCACACTCCCAGTCTTGTGGTTGATACACAAAGAAAAAGTTATTGCCCTTAGGAAATGAATATAAACATTCCTGATATCAATTTTTTACCTGTTGGCAAACATCTCTCACCATTGGGATGAAAGAGATGTTTGAAATGCTTTAATAATTAAAAAGAAAAACATATACAAATATTATTTTCAAAAAGATCTATTTATTTATTTGAAAGCAAAGTTACAGAGAGAGGAGATACACAGAGAGAGAGAGAGAGAGAGACAGACAGACAGAGAGAAATATTCCAGCCTTTGTTTTCATTCCCTAAATGGCTGCAACAGCCAGGGCTGGGCCAGGCCAAAGGCAGGAGTCAGAAGCTTCACCCAGGTTTCCCGTGTGGGCATAGGAGGCCCAAATATTTAAGTTACCTTCTACTGCTTTATCAGATGCATAAGCAGGGAACTGGATTGGACACGGAGCAGGGAGAATATAAACAGTTGCCTATATGGGATGCTGGTGTCACAGACAGCAGCTTTACCCACTATGCCACAGTCCTGACTCCAAATATTCTTTTTTTTTTTTGATTTTTTTTGACAGGCAGTGTTAGACAGTGAGAGAGAGAGAGAGACAGAGAGAAAGGTCTTCCTTTCCATTGATTGACCCCCCGAGTGGCCACCACTGCCGGCACGTTGCGGCCAGCACGCTTCGCCAATCTGAAGCCAGGAGCCAGGTGCTTCCTCCTGGTCTCCCATGCGGGTGCAGGGCCCAAAGAGCTGGGCCATCCTCCACTGCACTCCCGGGCCACCGCAGAGAGCTGTGCTGGAAGAGGGGCAACCAGGACAGAATCCGGCGCCCCGACCGGGACTAGAACCCGGGGTGCCAGTGCCACAGGTGGAGGATTAACCAAGTGAGCCGCGGCGCAGGCCCATTCAAATATTCTTTTAAAAATGTTTCCCTACTCTTCCAGGCCAGCTCTCTGCTGTGGCCAGGGAGTGCAGTGGAGGATGGCCCAGGTGCTTGGGCCCTGCACCCCATGGGAGACCAGGAAAAGCACCTGGCTCCTGGCTCCTGCTATCGGATCAGCACGGTGCGCCGGCCGCAGTGCGCCAGCCGCGGCGGCCATTGGAGGGTGAACCAACGGCAAAGGAAGACCTTTCTCTCTGTCTCTCTCTCTCACTGTCAACTTTGCCTGTCAAAAATAAAAATAAAAAAAATAAATAAAAAAAAATGTTTCCCTAAGTAATTTTGTAAAGTTTAGAAGAATGTAATATTTAAGATTTATAACAATTTAGTTGCCTTTCTTTTTTAATGTATTTGAACCATGTTATTTCATACATGGTTTTATAGTTTTTCAAAAATGTAGCATATACATATCTACTCAGTACTATATGATGTTTCAGTACATGTATACATTGTATAATGTTCAATAAAGTTAAATATATGCATTTCTTTTTTTAACTTTTATTTAATGAATATAAATTTCCAAAGTACAGCTTATGGATTACAATGGCTTCCCCCCCCCCCATAACTTCCCTCCCACCCGCAACCCTCCCATCTCCCTCTCCCTCTCCCCTTCCATTCACATCAAGATTCATTTCCGATTCTCTTTATATACAGAAGATCAGTTTAGCATATATTAAGTAAATATTTCAACAGTTTGCACCCACATAGAAACACAAAGTGAAAAATACTGTTTGAGTACTAGTTATAGCATTAAATCTCAAATACAGCACACTAAGGACAGAGATCCTACATGAGGAGTAAGTGCACAGTGACTCCTGTTGTTGACTTAACAAATTGACACTCTTGTTTATGGCCTCAGTAATCACCCTAGGCTCTTGTCATGAGTTACCAAGGCTATGGAAGCCTTTTGAGTTCACCGACTCTGATCAAAATCTATGCATTTCTTCAAACACTCAATGGTGAAAACATCCAAAATCCTAACTTATAATTTGTTCATTTTACAGTGCATTCATATATATAGTCATTATTTTGTGCAACAGAACCCTGAACTTCTTGTTTTATGTAGTTATAACCTATCACCCATTAATCAACCTTCCCTTCACTTTCCCTCCATATCTTCTCATAAACACCATTATACTCTTATTTTCCATGATATTTCCTTCTTGTTCAGACTCCCCATTTGAGTGAGATCATGTGTTACTTTGTCAACCTGTACTTGGCTTATTTAGAAAACTAATTTCATTTTTCTTGGAAGTATACCCAGCTGTGTGATTGCTACATCAATTTTCCCAGTCCCATTTACTGAAAAGATTATACTTTTTCCAGTGGATATTCTTAACAACTCTGTCAAAGCTCAATTGGCTACAGATGTGTGCAGTTACTTACAGGGTCTCTGTTCTGTTCCATTATTACAGAGAAATTGCTATTGCCAATATCATGCTGCTTTAATTACTGTAGCTTTATCATATGTTTTAAAGTCAATTATTGAAATGCCTCCTGTTTTATACTTTTGCTCAAACTTGTTCTGGCTATTTGGGATCTTTTGTGGTTCCACAAAATTTTTTTTTTTTATTTTTTCCTCACTTCTCTGAAAAAATATTATTGGTGTTTTGACAAGGAATGTGTTAAATCTGTAAATTACTTTGTGTAGTTGCACATTTAATGATATTTATTCTCTGAGTGCATGAAAATAAGGTATACTCCCACTTTGGGGTCCTCTTCAATTTCTTTCATCAGTGATTTATAGTTTTCTTTATAGAGATCTTTCACCTCTTTGGTTAGATCTACTCCTAGATTTTTTACGTAATTATTGGAAATGTGAGTCTTTTTCTCATTTCTTTTTCTGATGATTCAGTGTTGGTGTACAACAATGCTGCTAACATTTGTCTACAGACTTTACACTCTGAAGTTTTGCTGAATTTGTATATTAGTTCTAACACCGTTTTGGTAGAGTCTATGATAATTTCCTGTTTTCCAATTTGGACGTCATCTATTTCTCTGATTATTTTGTCTAATTTCTCTGACTGGGATTTCCAATACCGTGTTAAATAAAAATGGTGATATTTGACATTTTATTCCCAGAGCAAATTTTCAGTATAGATATTATTATGTCTATTTTACACATAGGGAATTAACATCAATTAATGTAATTTTCTTACCTGTGATGACAGAGCTCAGAGGTGTTATTATAAGTTAATGCCATTTTCTTGCTATTTTTTGGTTTCTTTTTTTGGTCTCCTTTTTCCTAAAAGATGATACATTCATTTATTTATTGAAAAGGCAGAGTGACACAGAGATAGAGATGGAGACAGAGATCTTCCATCTACTGATTCACTCCCCAAATGTTTGAAACAACCAGAGATAGGCTAGGCCAAAGCCAAGAGTCAGAACTCTATCCAGGTCTCCCACGTGGGTGGCAAGAGCTTAAGCACTTGGTCATTTTCTGCTGCCTTCTCAGTTGCATTAACAGGAAGCTGGATCAGAAGTAGTAAAACTAAGATCCAAACCAGCACTCTGATATGGGGTGCCAGCATCACTATAGGTGATTAAACCCTCTCTGCACAATACTATCCCTGTTTTGCCTCAAAATTTTGTCACAAATGTTGGAACTATTTCTGGGGGTATTTGAAGTCAGAGATCATAGTAACTCATAAGAGGTATTATGGATAAATATTTGTGTTTCCCCAAAACTCATCTGCAGAAGCTCTGCTTCCCTGAGTGATGGTGTTTGGGAGATAATTAGGTAGGCATGATATCCTGGGGGTGGTGTCCTTAAAATGGGATAAGTGCCCTTAAAAGAAGAGGAAGGGTCACAAGCTCTGTTTCTCTCCCCACCCCCACCCCCTTTTTCTCTCTCCATGCACACATTGAGGAAAGACAAGCGCTCACACAGAGAGAAAGCAGCCATTTACATGTCAGAAAAAGAGCACCATTACCACTGGTGCCTGATTTTGGACTTCAGGGCCTCCAGACAGTAAGAAATACATTCCTGCTATTTAATCCATCCAGGCTATATTTAATTTAAATAGCTTGAGCTGACTACTACAGAGAGAACAGTAAACAATAAATGTTTTATGAGGAGAAATAAAGGTTTTTATAATTTAAAAATGGTCTGGGTTGGGTATTTGCGGATCATCAGGTTAAGCCACCACACGGGATGACCACATCCCATACCAGAATCCCGGGATTGGAGACCCAGTGCTGCCTCTACTACAGTGCAGCTCCTGCTGACGCATACCCTAGGAGGCAGCAGATGATGGCTCAAATACTTGGGTATCTGCATCCAAAGTTGGAGACTCAGATAAAGTTTCTGGCTCATGGCTTCAACCTGGCTCAATCCTGGCTATTGCAGACACTGGGAGTTATTCAGCTATCAGCTGACAAAAGATTGTCCCACGACTCTGGAAAACACCAATATATTCTCATCACTATAGCTTTACATTTCCTTGAATGTTATTGAAATAGAATCATATATTATTTAACATTTGGGAGTTTAAGTTCTTTCTTTTAGCAAAATGTATTTGAAATATGTTCATATCATCCTTTTTCACTAATAAAAGAGAAAAGATTTCGTGTAGTTCATAGATGCAAATCTGAGAATATAATAATTCCTTCCCTTCCTCCTCCTTCCTTCCTTTTTTTTCTTTAACTTTTGTGATAACATATTTTTAATTTACTTTGTAATCACAAGCTCAATGCTCCATTAAATAGTTCAACAAATAGAAAAACCATTGTTCAGCAGGAATATAGACAAGGTCTATAAAAGTATGGCTGAGTAAAATTTTACAATATTTACACACTATAATTTGCTAACCATTCTACAAATTATTTTTCTAAATGCTTATTTAAAACAGACAGAGTGGGAGAGGCAGAAAGAGATAGACCTCCAGTCTGCTGGTTGACTCCCGGAATGCACAACAGTGGACGCAAAGCCAGGATGAAGCCAAAAACCAGGAACTCCATTCAGGTCTCAGATGTGGATGTTAGGAATTCGTGTACTTGAGCCATCATCTGCTGCCTCTACGGAGCATGAACAGGAAGCTGGGAAGAGTGGAGTACTGAGGACTCAAACCTGCACTCTGATATGGGAGGTGGGTGGCCTAAGTGGTGGCTTAACCCTTTGTGCCACAACATCTACCCCCAATCCTACAATTTAAATATACATGATTTCATTCTACTTCTTGATAATTATGAGTAAAGCTGCTATACACTCAGAGACAGGTTTTGTTTGATGATAGGTTTTTATGACTCTAGGGAAAAGTACCTGGGTGATGAATTGGTGGCTCATAGGAAGCACATGTTTAAATTAGTTTGTTTGCAAGAAATTACCAAATTGTTTCCCAAAGCCATTGTTCTGTTTATATTCTTACCATCCCTGAATTGTAGCTTCTCCATGTCCTCCCCAGCATTTGTTATTGCCAGTTATTTTAAGCAATGCTAATAAGTATGCACACAGTTTTCATGTAGCTTGGAGTTGAATTTATCTAATAATTAATTGCATTGAGCACATTTTTATGTGCTTGTGTGTCATCAAAATCTTAGCACAATGTTCAGATTTTTGTTCATTTTTCATACTGGATTCTTTTTTTTTGGTTTTTAGAATTTTAGTGTTAAAGATACATATCCCTTTCCAGAAATGTGACTTGCAACCATTTTTTCCAGCTCAGTGGTTGCTTATATTCTTCTAAGAGTTCTCTCACAGAACAAACACAATTTTACAAGACCTGATTTGTCAGTTATTCTTTTTTGTATCATAGTGGCAGAAAAGTGGCTAGATCCTTTCCAGTCCACCATATAAAGGGTTATGGTTGATTTCCCTACACCAAGAGACAGGTAAATATGAAAAAAATACAATACATTTATGTACTAGTAATTTTATGTGACACACAAGACTTCAGGTTGAGAAACCCCAAATCTAGAGTTAACTTTCCATTTTTTTGTTTGTTTCAGTTGGATGAAGTATGTACAGCCATGTAGGAATTTGGTAAGATAAAATGATTGTGATCTAATGCTGATAGGTGTGAGGAAACCCAAAAGGACTGTCTGCTTAGATTTTTCTTAACCTTTCCATGTAGCATTTCTTCCTCCCAGGTATATGGAAGGATCTGAGATTGGAGTGGAGTGTGGTGTCTTATTATCTACAGTCAGGAAAGGCAGATTATAGGATGTCTTCATGACCAACTTCAAGACAGAAAGGCAAGTGAATAATTTTCCTAGTCTTTAAAGCTTGCTTTGTACAAAAATAATTCTGATTTCTATGATTTGCTTTGAGGAAGAGAAATTCTAATTTCCATTGCTTTCTTTGGTGGGAAGCAAGAAGGTGCAAGAGATGGGAGTACAGGAGAATGTCAGAGTGACATTTCGCCTCTGTGATCCTCATTTTGGGAAATCATTATTTGAGCCCCAGTAGTATGTTTCTGGTGTCTTACCTAAGAGCTCTGAATAATCTAAGAAAATAAAAATTCTCAACTATGATTTATTCTAAAATTTCAGGTTTCATATTTTACATTTAGAATTGCCATCCATTTTGACTTAACTTTTGTAATAGTAGATAGGTGTTGAGTTTCATTTTTTAAAAATTTGGTTGTCCAGTTATTCCAACATAATTTATGGAAAAGACTATTTTTCTCTATTGAATTACCTTTGCATCTTTATCAAATGTCAACTTATTATTTGAATAAGTCTACTTTTGTATTATTCTGTTCCACTGATTTATGATTCTGTATTTTAACTATTAACACAATATTTTGATTACTGCATCTTTCTAGTAGGTCTTGAAATAAGGTAATATGAGTACTCTAAATATGTCCAGAGAGGAAGTAACATAGAAAATCGCACCTTTTGTCTTATGTCGACCAGGTCTGAAGACACCCCACATTGTCATCAGCTCTCAGTCACCTGGCCACACGTAACTGCAAGGGATCCTGGTAAATGTAGTGACGCTCTACGTGCAGGAGGAAGAGCAACTGAGCTGGTAACCAGCCAGCCACTTTCTGAGCCGGAGATTTGTAAATATTTTGTTTCATTTTTAGTGACAACACAGCCAAGATCAATTACTTCCACTTGCACTTCACCTTTCCAATCTCATCTTCAAGTATTCCCTACGTAAATTTTACTAAAGTAACAAAAACCCAAGTTCTATGATTATGTTTTCTCTCATTTATCTTGCTTTCTCTGTACATCTCAAAAATCCAGCTTAGCACTCTTGGGCTATCTCGGGTGCCACCCACTAAATTAAATATTTCTGGATTTCTAAATTGGTATTCTTTCTCCTTTTTCTGGGCTTCCCTATATTTTATATTGATAATATTATAATTTTATTTCCTTCACAATTATTTTTATCCTCTTATGACTTTCCAAAGGTTTTTATTCCTTGAAGAGAGTGCTCATCTCTTATAAATATGTTATATTCATTCCTGTATTCCTAACATAAGAACTCGATAAACATATGTTTTATTGGCGATAGTTCAGCCAAAGGGCCCTGACATTCTTAGTGAATTAAATGAAGTCATCATCAGGCTAAAGCTCAAATAAAAAACAACAGAATTAATATGGCATTTTGTCATGGTGACGAGCTTAGAGAAGTACCAAAGTATGGTTCTCTAAACCTGCCATTATTAAGGAATGACAGAAGGGTAAGATCTGACTTCGAAAGTCCGGACCAATGATCATAGTCATAGCCATGTTTCTTAAAAGAGCAGAGAAAGAAGTCAAAACATACCTTTATCACTTCCTATACTTCTTGTCCTTAACAGCCTTGTCAGGGTGTCCAAAGGGAGTTACAGGAGGAAGAACAAAAAGCTAAGAATGAAATAAGGAGAATGACCCTGAGTTTAAGGTAATTTGAAATATTCTTTGGCCTACATAAATCAACCGACTGTCAGAGTAATAACAGAGAAGCATGTCCTGGCATAAATTTTATTAATTAAGTTAAGAACTGTAATGCCATTAATTAATTTAAAGTTTATAATATCCTAATAGAACCGATGGGACTTCTCAGCATTTTAATATCTAATTTCTGTTGTAGATGGATATTGCCTACTTTAATTTCTTCCAGATACCATTGTGTAGCCTGGTTTCTGGTTTTATTTCTCCAGGCATATCTTAAACGCAAAAGTGATTTACAAATGATCAAAGAAAGAATATCTTTTTCATAAATATTAAATTTTTTATTTTATTTCTTTTTTTAAAGATTTATTTATTTATTTGAAAGTCAGAGTTACACAGAGGAGAGGCAGAGAGAGAGAGAGAGGCCTTCCATGCGATGGTTCACTCCCCAGATGGCCGCAACAGCTGGAACTGTGCCGATCCAAAGCCAGGAGCCAGGAGCTTCTTCCAGGTCTCCCATGTGGGTGCAGGGGCCCAAGGACTTGGGCCATCTTCTACTGCTTTCCCGGGCCATAACGGAGAGCTGGACAGGAAGCAGAGCAGCAGGGTCTTGAACCGGCGCCCATATGGGATGCCGGTGCTTCAGGCCAGGGCATTAACCCAGTGCACCACAGTGCCGACCCCAAATATATTATTTTATTTCTAAGAAATTTTAGCATATTTATTAATATGGCCACATAATATATTGTCATTTTTTTCTTTCTTAGTTCAAAAGTATCATATCTTCATTACCTGCTCCTTTTCCCTAATAAATTAGTGATATTGGAACTGCTCAATATGCTCCTTTTTGTTTGTTTCTTCAGAGACTGCCTCGTATAAAATGGATAAAAATTTTCTGGATAAAATTTAAGAAAAGTAATAAATATTATATTTACATACAATTTTCTTCTGAGAACTGTATCATTATTTTTTCATCAATTATTCAGCTGGACTCTCAGCTCCTCCAAAATTTAAGGTCAACTTTTTCTATAATTTCATCTCCCACTTGTCTCTCTGCTTTAGTAATAGCATGTTTTCCTATATTGTTCCAGCTTCAAGGAATGTCTTTTTCCTCTTCCATTATGTTTTAATCATAGCTTCCTCTACACCTACATACATACATAAAATAACATCATAACTACAGTATAACCTTCAGCCACAATTCACATACCCCTTGCTTCTTTTCAACACTTGTTGCCATCCAACAGGTTTAATAACATTTCCTCTAATATAACTATGTTTTGTACACACCTTGTGGTAGGACGTTTCTGAAATGTTTCTAAATGATGACTGATTCCCAACATCCTTGCCATTACACAATCTTCCCCTTTGAGTGTGAACTGAACCTAATAACTTGTTTCCAACAAAAGGAATACAGCCAAAGACATGGAAGGTTACACCCAATATCAGGTTACAATGTAGCTTGCTTCTTGCTAACTCTCCCTCATGAATTTGCTCATTCTGATGAGGAAAGCTACCATGTTACGAAATGCTTTAGGAAAGGCATATGAGGCCAAGAACTAAGGTGGCTTCTGGCAAACAGCCCACGAAAAATTTACTCCTCTATCCAAGAACCCAAGAATAGTCTGAATCCTATCAAATCAACAACCACATGAGTGGGTCCAGAGCTGACTTTCCTTCCAACATAGTAAATAAATCTTGAGATTTACTATGATGTGGACTAGGAGAAACCAGAGTTAGATGATCAAGGAAAGTTATCCTAAAATAGCTCTATTATTTCATCTGCTTATTAGGGGGAATGGGGATTAGAAGAATGTGAGATTTGGAACTGAATCAGAGTTATTTCTGCTTCTGCCATGTTGTTAACAGAATGGATTTGTAAAAATATAACATCAGCTTCCTTACTGAATAAATGTAATATCTATGTTGTAGGGTTTGGTAAAAACCATGTCTAATCAATAAGAGATGCTCAACAGTGTTGTCATTATAGTATTTGACTATAAGAATGGATCTTTTTAAATGGTGAATTTAAAATTACATAATTAAGTAATGGAAAATATGCATTACAAATACTCCTCTTAAAAGCAAACACTGGGACTCAGTGATGTTGTTTCTTAGTTGTTTAATAAGAATGGCAGAAGCAAAACCTGAACTCATTGATTTGTTGCAAACATTAAGCAACTTTGGTTTTCATGTTGGTTCAATGTCAAAAGATGTTCATTATAAATTATTTCATATAATGCCTATCAACAGTTAAAAAAAACCTTCAAAATGTGCTCATGAAAATAAAGCAAGAGTATCATCCAACATTGCTGAAATGAAACCCTTTGAGGTCATCTCTTGATCAAATAAAATAAATAATATATGGAACACATTGTGATTCCTCCAAGAATATATATATATATATATATATATATTATTTTCATTTATTTGAAAGACAGAGAGAGAGAGAGAGAGGTCTTCCATCCACTGGTTCACTCCCCAAATGACTGCAATGGCCAGAACTGAGCCAATCCAAAGCCAGGAGCAAGGAGCTTCTTCCAGACCTCCCACGTGGGTGCAGGAGCAATTGGGCCATCCTACTCAGTTTTCCTAGGTGCATTAGCAGTGAGCTGGATTGGAAGTGGAGCAGCTGGGACTTGAACCAATGTCCATATGGGATGCCGGCGCCTCAGCTGGGGCTTTAACCCACTGCACCACAGCACCGGCCCCTATTTGTATTATTTATGATTTAAAGAATTTTATTGACTACTTACCTGCCTCCCTTCCATATCTTATCCATGCATATTTTTAAAGGGATACCCTCAAACTCTCACCTGTATACTGAGTTTATTCACAAGTAACAATACTTCTCTATGCAACTGCTTTGTCCCAATCATCTGTAGATTTTATTTGTTTGATGAGCAAGTTAGAAGACCATATTAATCTTCATGTTTTATAGATTTCAGCTCCTGTAGAGTGACCAGGAAATCACCAAAACCATTGTCCATCCTGAACATGAATATCCAACATTCTGGAGTGTCCATACCACTTAAAACTATGCCACTATTTCTCCCTGCTTGCCAGGACATCGCAATCTCACTTTGCTGTCCCCAAGACTCATATCATTTCTTTGCTCTCCTTTATTGTGATGTGCTTCAAAGGGGTTTTCTATGTTAATTTCCTCTAGTCTCATTCTTTAACTCTGTAGGCTTTCACCCTCTAGTCTCTTGAATAATTGGGAAATTACTCTTGCCAAAATAAAAATAATCTTGATTTGGCTAATGTAACTACCAATCCTCAAACCTAACTTTATTTGAGCTACCACAGCTAACTAAAATTTGGCCACGGGGAATTACTTGTTCCTTCTTGATCTTTTTATTAGTTGATTTTTCTGAGTGTGGCCATCTCCTATCTTTCATGCATCATTAGATTCTTTGTTTCAACCTAATTTTAGTATTCCATACCTTTTGAATATCTTAATCTAAGAATTCCCCAGGGCCCTACATTTGGCCTTTTTTTCTCTATATCATCACCACCCAATTGAAACATGAGCCAAAAATATGAGCACATGCATTAAATTTTAAATTTTCTAATAGATACCTTAAAAAGTAGAAAGAAGCAAATGAAAGTAATTTTTTAATTTATCTTTTATTTGACAGATTGAATTAGACAGTGAGAGAGAGAAACAGAGAGAAAGGTATTCCATCCATTGGTTCACCCCCCAAATGGCCATTACGGCCAGAGCTACACCGATCCGAAGCCAGGAGCCAGGTGCTTTCTCCTAGTCTCCCAGGCGGGTGCAGGAGCCCAAGCACCTGGGCCATCCTTCACTGCCTTCCCGGGCCATAGCAGAGAGCTGGACTGGAAGAGGGGCAGCCAGGACTAGAACCCAGTGCCCATATGGGATTCCAGCATCACAGGCGGAGGATTAACCAAGTGAGCCAGTGAGCAAGGCACTGGCCCAAAATTTTAATAGTATATTTAATCTAATGCACTTACATATCAGCTCAACATTAGGAATATAGAAGTATTAGTAAAATGATTTATATGTTTTGCACATTACCTCCATTGTATACTTACTGTTAGTAGCACAGCTTAATTTGCATTAGTTATATTTTCAGGGCTCAATAGAAACATGTGATAGTGCTTACCACTCTGGACAGTGCAGTTCTATATTCTCCCTCCCTTGGGCCTCTAGTTCCTGTTTCATGGTCTTAAATACCATCTGTATGATAATAACAACCATATTTATATTGCAAGGCCAGATTTCCTTTCCAAAGTCCATAGTTGTATACAAAACTTGGTATTTCCACTTGCATGCCTAAAAATTATTTTATATATAGCACATTCAAAAGCAAACTCCCAATCTACTCTCTATACACATACATAACCCCCAATTCACTACCCATCTTCCATTCTTCCCAATCTGTT